TCTATGCCCCAATGAGAAAAGTTCTAACTGGATAGGAACATAGTCTACATTATTTTATCTTTTCTACCCAAGATGGTAAGCAAGTATTCTTCTAGCAGTTTGTGATATTCAGTGACTTGAACTAGAAGAGGAAAATGATGACATCTAAATGTCTATAGAATCAGGATGGTTAAATAATTTATAATAAAACAATAGTTCAGAATATTATAAAAAAATAAAATTCTTTAAGAACATAAATCAGAGAGGTCTCTCAAAATAAATTATATTTTAACAAGAAAAATATAAAAGACTATAATCACAGTCATATATGAGTCAAGACATATTCAGGTACAAATACTTTTGTAATCTAAAGAACACATTAAAAAGCATGGGGAAAGGCACTGAAATGTAAATCACAATGTTGCTGAATAAAATGGGACTATTCTTTGAGCTAGTGTTAGTAAGGAATAAACAAATGATTTCCATGGAAGAAACATTCTCAGCATCATATTTTGCTCTGCCCACTTTATTTCAAATCACCAGACCTAGGATTAATAGCAATACAATATCAGGTTTTTAAAATGTTCCTTCAGAGATATTCCAGAACATCCCAAAGAGGGTTCTGTGATGACATCTGTTTTACATGACACTATGCATATTGCTGGGGGGAAATTAGGTACCATGGATGTGTGCTGAAGTAATAAGACTGAACTCCACTGGCCCTGAACATCCTTGACTTTAAGAGACACCATCACCAAGGTCAACATTAGACCAAAACAGAATCAAGCATCTCCATAAAGCTAAGGCAATAAGAAATCAAAGGTTCAGCAGAACGTAAAGGAGAACTCATTTTCATGCAGAAACAGACTTCAAGGAAACTTGCAATAGTTAAAGGGAGGAACAAAAAAAATCTCTCCAGAAAACCTGAACCACAAACTGGTAGTCACTGGAATTTCTAATCTGAATTCAAATCTTTCTTAAAAAGAAATGTACCTTGAGAATAAGACACACAAGATAGCTAACCACTTATAGCACTGGGGATTAAATAAAAGTCCCATTTTAAAAACTTTCATATGTAAGGAGAGTGCCTGGATTAAAGAGAATGTCCTGGCATCCTGCTGGTAAAGGCCACAAAGGAAGCATTTTTCCAGATTCAGCCACCCGTGCTCACAATAGCCACAACAGTCGTGATAGAAGAGGGTTCAGCTAATTTGGTAGCAGAACTTGGTGCTAAGTGGAGATGGTTTCATAGGCAGGAGGAATGCAAGGGTCAATGGAAATTCCATATGAAAAAAAAAATCTGTGAGGCCAGGCAACATGTGGCAGGGTTAGATTCTCTGTAGAGAGCCTGATGTTCTAATCTGACCTACATGTACATACATGCACATATACCTCATAAATATCACACACACACACACACACACACACACACACACACACACACACACACACAATCCTGATTAGATTTTTGTCAACTTGATACAAGCTAGAGTCCTTTTAGAAGAGAGAACCTCACTCATTGAGAAAATGGCTCCCAAGTTGACCTATGGGCAAGCCTATGACATTTTCTTGATTAGTGTTGATGTGGGGGGCTCAGACCACTGTGGACAGAGCCATCCCTGAGAAGGTGGTCCTAGACAGTACAAGAAAACAGGCTGAGCAAATCATGAGAAGCAAACCAATAAGCAGCTTTCCTCCATAACTTCTGCTTTAGTTCCTGCCTCCAGGTTCTTCCTCTGCTTATGTTCCTGTCTTGATTTCCCTCATCTATCAGCTGTGACCTGGAAGTGTAAGGTGAAACAACACCTTCCTTTCCCATGTTGCTTTCAGTCATGATGTTTTATCACAGTAACAGAAACCCAAACTAATACACACACACACACACACACACACACACACACACACACACACACACACACACACACACTGTACTAAAGCAAATCTTTTTTTTACCAAAAGATTAAGATAAAGAATGTTCGAAGGAACTTTACCAATGGAGTGAAAGGAGTCTACAATGAAAACTTTGAAATTGACAAGGGCACTATGGAGTTGATGGAAGACATCGGAGAGGGAAACTTTCCATGTGTACAGATTAGAATCAGTATTGTGAATACAGCTATCGTACTACGAACTATCTACAAATTCAAAGCAAACCACATCAAAATTCAAACACTATTTTTTACATAAATAGGAAAAAGAACCTTAAGAATCTTCAAATTCACATGGAAGCACAGAAGACCTCAGACAGCCAAAGGCAGGCCTGAGGGAAACAAACAGAGCTGTGGGTATCACCGTAACTGCTATCGAGTTATAGTTTCACAAAAATAGACGGGTAGGTAATAGAACATAACAGAAGACGTGGATAGAAACCACACAGCCATAGACGCCTATTTTTGACAGAGATGCCAAAACTGAAGAAAAAAACAGCATCTTCAACAAATGATGCCGTGAGAGCTTGATGGATCCATGCTGAAGAACAAAATCAGATATTTATCAATGTCTTTAACATAGGACCTGAAATTCTGAAATTGCTATCGGAAAACATAGGGAAACCCTTTAAGGTATTGGCACAGGTAAGACTCTCTGAATAGGACTCTGGGGTCTCCAGAAATGAAGCCAGCAGTTGATAAATGGGACCCCATGAAACTAAAAGGCTTCTGTACAGAGAGAAACTGCCAATCACGTTGGTGAAGGTGCCTACAGAATGGGAGGAACTTCACCAGCTATGTAGATGACAGAAGATTACTATCTATCTGGGCTACACACAGAATACAAGAACCGAAGCATTAAGAAAACAAACAACCCAGTTCTAAGAAGGGCTATAGAACTGAACAGAGGAGTCTCAAATGCAAAGAGCTAGTAAATATATTTGTAAGTGTTCAGTATTCCTAGCCATCATGGAAATGCAAGTCAACGCCCCAGTTAGAATGACTATCATCAAGAAAACAAGTGACAGCAAATGCTAAGGAGGAGGTGGGAGAGGACTCTTCTACACTGTTGGGAGAGTGTAAATTGGTGCAGCCACTGCGGAAATCAGTGTGGAGACTTCTCAACAAGCTAAAAAGGAACTGCCATGTGGCCCTTCTAGAACGCTCCTGTGCATATACCCAAAGGACTCCAGATGCTACTACAGAAAGGTTTGTGCATCCATGGTCATTGCTGCTCTAGTCATGACAGCAAAGAAATTCAATCACCTTAGACATCCACCAACTAATAAACAGGTAATGAAATTGTGGGACATACACATAATGGAATTTTACTCAGCTGTAAAGAAAAACGAAATCATGAATTAGCAGGAAACAATGAAGTAGAAAGTATTATACTGAGTGAGGCCATAACCCTTGCTTGGAAAGACAAACACTTCATGTGTCTTCTCATATGCGGATCTTAGCTTCTCATTTTTATGTACATGTGCTTAGGGCCATAATCAGGAGGGAAAGGGACTTCAAGGATGGTAGGACAGTATAGCACACGTGTGTGATAGAAGAGTGGAGCTCAGAGTACCAGGAGAGAAAAGCTCATGCAGGAATGGAGGGACAGGACAGGGAGGGAGACAGGGTGGGAATAATCACAATTAAGGATGCCTGAGAAATCAGTAAGGAATATCTACCACTTTGTAAGTTAATTAAAATATCAAAATTTTAAAAGGATTTGTCCTTCTGAGTTTGGATCCTCACTTAATATTATACTTTCCAGACTCATCCATTCTCTATGGAAATAGGAGAACAACTTGTTGAGAAGAAGAAAGGGATCAAGTGGAAGTAAGAAGAGGGCCAAGGAAGAGTGATGGGAAATATAAATGAATAAAAGACATCATATACACAATGAAATAGCCAAGAATTTTAAAATAATTATTTTTAAAGTTTAACTATTATCTACATGTAGCTATAAAATAGAATACTGTATTTGAATTTGCTAACTACTTACATGATATCAACATTATCTGTAGATGAACTTTAGCTGGTGGAGTGATATCAAAACATCTCTGATGTCAGAGCATCAACTACTTCTTGATGTAAAATATCACATTGCCCTCTGAATCCATATCTCTGTACCCATCAATTAGTACAGCTTTTAGACCACATCAAAGAAGTTTCTTTATGCGTGGGTGGTGGCTAAAACAGAAACTCACAACTGATCCAAGTACAGAGTGTCTTTGGAGTGCCAGGCCATATATGGGGCATCTATATTGTACCCCATTTCCCCAATGCACCACTGAGGGAGCAGTGGTAGAAAGATTTATAAGAGCCAGAGGTCAGGACAGGGGAGGAAGGTGCCAGAGAGAGGAGAAACCAGTCCCCTCTGGACATGACAGGTCCTGCACTCATGAGCACACAGTGACGAGGATTGCTTGCTGGAGACCTGCAAAGATCAGGCCAGTCACCATGCCAGCCTGCATGGGAGAGGTGTTCGTGACACACCAACCTGGCTGTGGAGTCTTTAATCATGGATGGCTGATAGTGGAGGGAAACCCCGTTTTCTTTAAGGTTAGAGTCCCCAGTAGGTTGACTATGTGCCAGTGAATGGCCCCATGCCCACGAGCTTATGGGCAGTACAAACTGAACTTGGCAGGTTGCAATTTTTTAAGACACAAAATTGGGGGTAGGGGGGTTGGATTTGAATGGATCTGGAAGGAGTTGGGGTGAGGTGAGTGTGGTATGATCAAACATATTATAGGCGTGTATGAAAATTTTAAAGAATAAAAATACATTTTAAAAACTCTTCATTGAGCTTACCTGTTATCATACCAAAACATTCCAATGAAAGCTAAAAGTTATGTGAGAACTGGTAGTTAGTTATTCTACAAATAAAAAAAAAAATCCAGCTACACGTGGTTTTTTGTTTTTGTTTTTTAGGTTTTTTTTGGTTTTTTTGTTTTTAATGTGGGTTGGATTCAAAGCTCATCAACACTCAATATACTGTCCTGGGTCAGGTGTATAAAAGTGTCTTTTCTTTATTAGTAAAATAGTGTGAAGAAGAATGGGTGTCATTGTGGGATAAGAATCGGAGTTTTTACTCACCTGTGCTGAGAAACCACAGAAGAAGGCAAACCAGAAATGCACAAGAGTGAACGCAAAGTTCTTGTAGAAGAAATAGCATAAAAACTTGCACATTCTGTAATAGGACCACCTTCCATGAACAAGAAGCAGCCGTTGGAGATATCTAAACTGAGCCAAAGCGTAGTCACTGGCTAAGACTGCCTGCAGGCCTTCCTGGCCGCTGATGCCAATGCCGATGTGAGCGCCTAGGAGGGAGAAGAAGAGCAACGTCCATCACCAAACAAAATCACAGCACCTTTAAGGAACTTACTCTTCTTTTTTGTCAGTCATTTATTGTAACTGTACATCTACAATAGTTATTATAGTTTTTCACATCCGTCATGAATTAGTCACATAGTTAAGTATCTGGGCTAGGAACAGTTTGGAAATGTGTACTTTACACTGGTAAATAACCAAGATGGGATCAACCCAGCCACTAGGAATGCAGCCCTGGCTGCTTTCACTTGCTCTGACTGGTTTTTCCCTCATCCACAAACTACTTAGGAGATGGCAAGAAATATGCAAGTGATTTAACTGAAGAGAAAGTATCTTAGGGATGCTAATAATTGTGGAAGTGCTGGGCCCAGAAAGTGTCATTTGTGGAAGAACAATGGTAAAGTTAAATTAATGCACAGTTCTACAACATATAGAAATAGGACTTCCTGCATGTAGTGTGCCTCACTGAGAAAAACACCCTCTTACTTTTAATCATGCTGACATCGTTGGCCCCATCGCCGATGGCCAAGGTTACAGCATTTCTGTGCTTTTTGACCAGCTCTACGACCTGAGCTTTCTGGAGCGGGGTGACTCTGCAGCAAACCACAGTCTTACACATGCAGGCAAGTTCCAAAAGATCCTTCTCGACATCACTTTCTAGGGCATGGGCCTGTATCAGCCAAACAAACAGAAATGAACAGCAACAGAATGCATGACAATTGTCAAAGCAAACGTCTTGGTTCTTCACTGACTTAATTTCAGAACCATTTCATTACCTTGTCAATTCAGAATCACAAAATCCATAACAGAAAGAAAGGTGTGGACACAGAGCCATCAGTAAGTTTCAAGGAAATTTAACATAAAAATAGAAGACATGCCCTTAGTGTGTCTCTTTGGCATGTCACCATGCTGTCTTGGCAAGATATGGCTATAATAGATGTTGGAAAAGTTCTAGGAACCACTAAAATCAGTGGAAGCAACAGATAGAGCCCACTCACATTGAGATAGTTTTAAATGAACTGCAAACTATGGTGATTTCTATATTTGGGGCTGCTAGCCTCCTTTGTGTTGTTTTGTACAGTTACTGTTTGTGAATGCCAATGTGCAGGCAAGACGGAAAGGTCATGAGGGGAGGTTGGTCCTTAAAAAGCACTGTGGTTGGAGTCAGAAGCCTGGACAAAAGGGTGGCAGGCAACCTGTGCCTCAACCAAGGTTCCCCAACCATTTCTATCCCTGCTCCACATACCGAGAGCCTTTCCATACTCTAAGAAATTACTGAGAAAGAGAGCACAAGCAACTGGACAATTACCTTTCTAGAAACATCTCTCACTTTGCACTTTATAGCAGACATGTTCAAAGGACACAAGAATCTATATTTAAGTAACAGATATTAAAGAACCCTCAGTGAATCCTTAGCAAACAGGGCTCCTGAGGAACATCTCTCTTAGCCCTTTCTTTCCACAGAGAGAAAGACAGGGTAGGTGATTATCACCTGAGAGCCCACACCCCCTCTTCTGGCTTCCTCAAGCCCAAAGGACATTCAAACCATAACCAATTAGGGATCCTGTCCTACTGCACTGGCTGGGCCATTCAGCTCCAGATCTCAGCAGACAGACATAACTTTCAGTTGGTGTTCATCTGTGCAAGGGAAAAGTTCATGTCATCTGGACCAGCTTTCGACCGAGCTTGGCCCGCAGCTGTGCTCTGGAACTTTCCATGGTGTGGAAGGCAACACATAGTCGTGTCTGCAATCCAGCTGGATAGAGCAGAGAGCACTGGGAGCTAACAGGCACATGGTCATGAGGGGAATCTAATACACTCACATCCAACTCCTTTTGTCCACTAAGAAACTGTCTTCAAGAACAAACGTTCATTTTCCAAACTCCAAAGTGAAAAATGAGCATCAAAGCCAAAGAAAGATGTGCGATTAAGTTCTTTGTACATATAAATGATAATTTCACTAGACTGCAGTCGGGGCTTTTGTGTTCTAATTAGAGACTCAGAGGAGCCGTTTGAGTTTCATTCGGGGCTTGGAACCTGAACTGCATAAAAAGTACAATGCAAGTTTATTCTATTATGACAAGAACCAGATTTCCTAATCAAATCAAATTGTTTGGCTTTGCTGTAGAATGTTGCTATTTAGAAAAACCACCAGAGGTATCTTAATGACGATGATTTGGCGTGGTAATTCTGTGAAGGTCAGGTTATGACTCGCAAATCACAAACATTAACAAGAGCAGTAACTGAAGCCCATCCATCCAGTTGCATTATTTCAATTAAGTGACACTGAGCTGTGACATCCTCCCTTACAAAAAGCACTTAAACAATTCTCCTAAGTGACTGTTTAGGCAAAATTCATAGGTTCCCTGTGAATTGCTTCCCCAGTGCCTCACAACCAGTGTGATCATCCAAACAATGTATGAAATGCACCCTAGAAGTCTTCCCTTTTGTAAACAGGATATCCTGTGCACGCCCTATTCCTTGTAGTGTCATTTGTTTGAAAAACACAAAAGGGGTTCTCATTATGACAGCACAAAAGAGATGATTATGGGGGAAAAGAAAAAGAAAGGACAGTAGCCTCGGGCCAACTCACCAAACTGTGGCCGTTTATGACTAAGGCATAGTCTCCTGTTACAGCTTCTTCTGCACCCGGGTCCAACTCCAACTGCCGCTTACTTTCGTAAACTACATGTCCGTTGGAAAAACTCGGGTTTTGTCCAAACAAGATTTCCTTTGCTTTCCTTAAAGAATAGTAGAATTTTAAAAAGTATAACGAAGTACACAGAGCTAATCTATATAACTGCACCAAAAGACTGGCCTAGAAGTGAACTCATTTCATCACTACTCAGACAGAATAAGGCCCAAGAATTAGCTCCAGCAAGCAAACCAATGGACAGACAGCAGTACCTGTCAAAAAACTGCATGGTGTGGGGGTGAGGCACAGGAAACAGACAGGTAAGAATGATGAAAACAGAATCATCGCAAACATTTTAAACTACCTAAGAACTATTAAGGGATCTCGATAGCTATGATGTGTGAAGGCTGAAGAACTACTCTCTGGCATACAATGATTTTAAATATGCTAAACAAAAAAACTAAAGACAATGAATGACACCTTGTCTTTGCAAAGTATTCCCCCTCCTTCCCTCTCTTCTCTCTCTCTCCTTTTCTCCACTTTTCTCTCTCCCTCTCCTCCCCGCCTTGTGTGTGTGTGTGTGTGTGTGTGTGTATGTATGTGTGTATGTGTGTATGTATAGTGTATGTGAGGTGTGAGTGTATGTATGAGTGTGTGTGTGTGTCTGTCTGTCTGTCTGTGTGTGTATAGTGTATGTGGGGTTTGAGTGTGTGTGTGAGTGTGTGTGTGTGTGTGTGTGTGTGTGTGTGTGTGTGTGTGTGTGTATCTGTGTGTGTGTATATAGTGTATGTGGGGTGTGAGTGTGTGTGTGTGTGTGTGTGTGTGTGTGTGTGTGTGTGGTGTGCATGATCATCAATTTGACATACAATGTTATAAGAAACTACAAACATCAAAGCATGAGGGTTGTTGCAAGTGGAAATTCGTTGCAATGCTCTAGACCTAATCGGTAATAGATACACAGGAGTCCTGCACACATCTCATCCGTGTCTCCAATTTAAGAGAAAGCTTATTTGATGACATAACATCCTTAGAAGTGGCATTTTACTGTTCTTTTAAAAAATGGGATGATGTCTTTAAAGGAAGGAGATTCCCTCCCCGAAGACCTGTGGGTGGCATGGCTGCTATAAATAACAGTTCTATCGGCATAACCACAGGAGCTTCCATGGTAGGAACACCAGCTGACATCCCCTGCAGAAGGGTGCTCAAGCCAGCCACTGCTGCAAGTGAATATACGACTACATGTATACATGAATGCCAGAAGAAAACAGGAAGTAAGGAATAAATTAGTAGATGTTTTGACTTATGGCAAAATGAACTGTCTCCCTGAAGTCCTACCCAGTGTAGAAAACATTTCTTAAAATAGGTTCATATTAAAGTTTCTCTGATAGGAGAGAATGATCATATTAAAACAAACATTTTTCCTTCAGTGTTTGAGTTATTTAAAAATGCATCATTAGAATTTACATACAAAGGAAACCCAGAAGCCCTCAAGCTACCTTGTTTCCTGGCTCAACATTGCCTTCTGCTGTCCAGGACCAAAATCACACCTTCACTTCCGAGTCCTGTCACTCTCCCTTGGTTCCAAGGGTGCTATCAGACAGTTAGCACACCGTTTTCAGGAACAAACAAAAGGATGTGCAAAGTCAGAGGGTTGTGTGGGAAATGCACTGTGGGGAAGGGTTACTGTTGCAAACAGAAGGTGCGGGCTTCCACAGTAGATCAGCAATCCAAGCAACACTCATCGTGGCCATGAAAATTGACAGCACCACATGATGAATGGGAGAAATGAAACTAGACATGAGCATTTCTATGACAGTGCTACAGATCCCAAAAACTGGGTTTTGAAAAGGCACTGAAGGAAAAAAAAAAAAACATCTTCCAGGGTTTCCTGTTTAGTGAAGTTCCCATTTGCTGTGTAAATGACTCAACCTGTTTCCCCCTTGGAGAATGAAAACATTCCAAAGGAGGGTGAAGTTCATGAACACACTGGCTGAAATTCTATTTACTTAGGAGTTTTCCCCAACGATGTCTTCCTAGCATGTGACACAAACCCTTTTCTGGGCAGAAAAGGGACAATTTTTATGCTCTGCTAAAATTCCTAATGCTCCCTCCTCCCAGGCCTTCGCTCCCTGCCAGACTGGATGCTCACACTGTCAGACCTGGGTGGCTGTCAATTCTTTTACTTCCTGGAACTCAGTTCTCCAAATACAATTGGGTTCTCACAAAAGCAATTCCTCAGGAGGGAGGGAAGCTTTACATAATACCTCTCAATGAAGATGAACTGTACATTGCATAAGCATCACACGTACTGTGTAGCCTCAGGATACAAACAGATGCTTTAAAAAAAAATGCCTGTGCCTCCTAGGCTTTGTAATGAGGGGCAGTTTAGTACAATGTTGGAATGCAGAAATACATTAGGAGTTGAGTTGATTAGAGCACCCACAGCCCATACCATCAGAGGCACAGTAAAGCAGGGGGAGGCCTTTGTAGGCACTCAACCTACAAAGAAAAGAGATGGGGAAACAAGCCATTTTGTCAGTCCTTTTCTGGCACTCTAGATCCAAGAACTAAAAGGATCTGTTAGGAAATAGGTTTAAATTATGACATTATGTTTAAAGGAAAAGAATTTGGATTTCGGTACAAAGGCCAGTACTCTGTGCTTGCTCATTCCCTGGGAACTTGGGTCTGCCTCTAACAGATTAGCTATCTGACTTTTGGCCACTTGATTAGTCCATGGCAGGCCCAGAACTTCAAATTCCTAGCTCTTGGTTACCACAACAAATGGCTTGACACATACAGTCAGCCACAGGCTTTCTCTAGGATGGAGTAAGATACATTGGCAGAGGGCAATTAGAGACAGCACGACCCTACCTCTACCAACCGTGGAGGAAGGGAGAGAGTGAATGAAGTTTTTAGTGCAAGCTTCATGTTTACCATCCCTCACTGCCCCAAGGACCTTTAAAGATGCTGATCCCTTATCAGAAATTGGGAATCGGCCTAGATGGGGGCATGAACTCTTAAAAACAGGCAGCTTAAAAAAAACTGTGGGCAACAGTACCAGTTTGTGCAGAACTCAAAATGTACCATTCTGGAATTTTACAGTTTATGAAAAGAAACTTGACCTACTAAAACACTTTACCCAGGAGACTAGAACCTGGGAATTCAAACCAAGATGCCTCTTGTTTGGTCTGAATGATGCTATGGCCATTTGTTCTTCTCCATGAAAGCACTAATATAAACAACCTCTATCACACAATTAACCTTACCTACCTGCTCCAGGAGCCATTTGCACTTGCAAAAAGCACTAAAGATTAAAAATTCTACTGATTAAAGAGGGAGTATCGAGTCCTGGTGCACCGGTGGGATACTCCGAAGCAGTGGAGTTACAGGTTAATGAACTTCTCTGAGAAAAAAACATGTGATCAGTGCCACAGAAATGAAACACTGAATGAGTTTTCTTGTCTGACCCAAACAACATTACATTCTCTGTTTTGTTCTGAGCAGAAGATGCATGCACTGTTAAAATGCAATCCATGAAATAACCTCAGAAACACTGGCAGGGCTTAACTGTAGATCTGTGGCATAGTGCTACCAATAAAACATCTATGGGAGCAAAATCAATTGGGATTCCATGTGTCCAAAATGGCACTAATGACTCTACACAAGCTGTATGCATTGCTGTGTAGCTTGAAAATTACATGCCCATATTGACAAAATCCAAACACACTTGACAGGTTTAACTACAAGCACTTAAGAAGTTTCCCTCCAGTGACTACTATCACTCAGACCCTGCTCTTCTGACACATTTTTTTGCATGAACTTTCACTGAACTTAAAAACATAACACAAGAACAAGGAATGGCACAAATTTATGATTTTAATATTTCATCCCCAAAGCTATGGACTTAGATATATAAATCACCAAGATTACGAATATAGTGGAGATCTCGACACAATAGCTCTCCTTAGGTACTCTTTCCCCTCAGTGTCCATAGAAAGCAAATGTGTTCTGGAAATGTATTCCTTCTGCCAGAGAATTTTCAATCATGCCTTGCCTCCATGTCAGACTCAAAGCATGAAGGTACCTCCAAGTCTGGGTTAAAATTAGCATGGCCAATTCTGTCAGCTGAACAATGTAGCCTCGTGGGATGTGAGGTTACACCTACCCATAAATATTTTCCTTTGACTATTTTTCCTCTCATTACAAAATAAACACATTTTTAGTTTTTTATCAATTGTAAAACTTTACACAAATACTACTACTTCTGATAACATAACCAAAATTAAGAAAATAAGCGTGTTGCCTAATTCTATTACTTGGAAAGAACCATGGCGTATATTTTCCAGGACTTGATAGGTAGTTAGGTGGATAGATGTATAGTTGTGTGTGTGTGTGTGTGTGTGTGTGTGTGTGTGTGTGTGTGTGTGTGTGTGTTTCCAAAATATGTCATTCTATACACATTTTATAATCTCATTTTTCACTTTAATATATTACTCATCTTCCAAAGTCAATAAAAGCAAAATCATTTTATTGACTAATTGTATTCTATTTCTTGTAAATATCATAATATTTAACAAAAGTCTTCACAACTAGGCATGTGAGCTATTTTAATTATCTATTATCATACCCAATGCAGCAATAAATATTTCCTCAGCTACATATTCATACATTTGTTTATTGCTTCCTTAGAAGAAATTCCTAGAACAAGGATCACTAAGTCAAAAGCATGCCTGTTTATATTTTTGAAATACATTGCTAATTTCCTCTTATAGAGAATTCTACCATTTGAAGGTTCCAACAATGGTACATAAATAACACACATTTCTCCACATTTATTCTATGAAATGACAGCTACAACATCTATGTAGTCAACTAGTTGTAGCTGTGGATAAAATCTTGAGGTACTAACTTGACTACTTCAACTATTTCTATGAACTCAAGGGCCTTCTCTTTCTTTACTTGGGGACATGTCTTGCTTGGGAAGGGAAACACACGCAGAAAGGAGTCAATTGCTTGGTTTTTGAGCTCCAAAACAGACTCTTGAAAAGCGTAGCATCAATATCACTCTAAACCTGACTACCTGGAACATTGCTAATTGAGTGTTTTGAAAGGAAAAGTAAGGTTTCTTCAAGTCTCAAAAGATGAGTTAGACCTGTCTTGAGGAGCAGAGTAGAAAGCAAAGCTCCCATAATGATGAGTGGCTAGATGCAGGCTTTGCCAGGTCTGTAAGAGAATGTCTTGATGGATGATCGATATGGGAAGGCCCAGCTCATGGTGGGTCTGGGCTATGTGAAAGCTAGCTGAGGTTAGCCAAGGAGCAAGTCAGGAAGCAGCATTCCTCCACGGTTTCCTCTTCCAGGTCCCTGCCTTCAGATTTCTCCCTTGAGTTCCTGCCCTGGCTTCCCCCACTGATGAACTGTTTCCTGGAAGTGCAATCTAAAATAAACCCTTTCCTCCCCAAGTTGTTTTTGGAGAGATCCACATTCAATAAAATGTGACTTCTTTGGGGGCATTATTTACTGCTTCTAACACAGTCTAACATCAAATGAGCAGTCTCCTGTGTTGAGAAGCAGCCAGTGCTGCCCACTGCCTTCCATTCCTGGAGAGTCACACTGATGCTAATGTTTTGTTTTGGAGGTTTTGTTGCTAGTTTGTTATTTTTAGACTTCCAAAAGCACTGGGAAAATCATTAACCACTGCTTTGGATTTTTTTTTTCTTAGCCTCTGTGCAAATTCAATGCACATGCCTTAAGTTTTGTTGTTGTTTTAAAAGGGACTTCATGAGTCCTCAAATAAGTGCATACATTTTAAAACTGTATGCCTTGCAATAAATCCTGACAACATTACTTTTGAAATTTTAGGTTTACATGTGCAGGTTAGTTGCAAAGTGGTTTAAAATTTTAGTAATTAAAATGCAAACCAACTAACTATAACAGGAAATAAATGGGGAGGGAAACTTCTGATTTATTGGTTTTACAATCTGTATAAAATTATTGTGCCAGAATTATATACACATATGTATATGAACATAAATGACAATTTACCTTGAAAATTAATATTTTAATTAACCATCCAAGTATTACTATTTCTACCACAGGCTCCATGAATTCTGTCATAAAAATGACACAAAAAATTATCCAAAATCATTAACTCCAATAAAAATATGGCCAGTATGCTGTCAACAAATAAATAAGAGATTTTAAACCTATATAACTAATTAGAGTATATTACTAATAATTAATAAAATTTCCCGATTTTTAATTTGACAAAGACATGAGTAGCCTTCTGTCAGAACTTCACACCAGCCCTCGAGAGCCCTTTTCTACTCAGGGTCCCACAGACACAACAGCAGATTCAATCGACAGCTCTCAGTTGGTGAAATCTAAGATTTCCTTCCCTACCCAGCAAGCTCTGGTCAGAGAAGCTGTAGGAGCAGCAAGCAAAACTGTTACAAACCAGCACTTCTCAAATTTAGAGGGAAACAGTTATGTAGATTTTTAATGTTTTTTTTCCAAATGAAGTAACAGAAAAATAAATATAACGAACAGATAGATGCTAAGAAATACTTGTCCTCCAAAATTAATATTTATGTGCTTGTATGTCCAATGCCAGTCAGCACTCTTGTATTTTCTAGCACTAGGGGGCAGCTGTACGAACAGCAGAGCATTCCCCTTCTCATACAAAGTGCTCAGCAGTCTGGGCTGAGTACTCACTCTTCTGACCATACGGCACCTCCTCCTGTGTTTTCCAAAGTTATCTTATCACAAACTGCTGGTGCCTACTAAATACTAATTCCAATACTCCATACCTCAGAGACCGAACTCAAAGATGGAAGGAAGCCAGGGGAATGGTGTATTTAAAATGCACCTTCAGTGACATTGCTATTTATCATCACTTAATATCTTCCAGGTTTTTGCAAACAAGTAATTTTAAAGAACAACATACATGACTTGAGATTCTTTTCTTAAAAAACATAGGAAATGTTGGAGTCTCAAAGACAATGATTCATTGCCAATGTCACCTTTATCCTAGCTTTTGTGACTAACATGAATGAGACTTAAGGAAGCTTGCAGGAACACCTACACAAAGAGAACTCACTGAGGACTGCAGCACACACACTTCTGCTTTCCCAGATGCCTGATAGTCCTTCTTCCTTCCCAGACCTACTTTCTCCCTTTCCTTCAACACACACCTGAGTTCTTCTCGCACTTCTCCAGCTGTGTTCCCCGTTATCACAAACACGGCATCCATGGCATCAGTCAGCACATTGCAGGCGTAGCCAATATTGATGGCAGTTTCTGGTATAAAGAAAGATCACCTCTGTTACATTTTCCATAAAGTTTTGAAGCCTTGGCTGTGTTCCCCAGAGCCTATCAGACCCACTGGTGTTAGCAAACACACACTGCTTTATACAACACAACTGACTGGGCAAGAAAAAACAAGCAGGTAAAGAAAACTACTCATGAAGTGAAAATTGAAATAGTAGCAATAAAGAAAACACAACCTGAGGGAATTCAGGAAATGGAAAATCTGGGTAAGGGAACAGGAACTACAGATGCAAGCATCACCAACATAATACAGGAGATGGAAGAGAGAATCTCAGGCATTGAAGACACAATAGAAGAAATAAATTCATTGGTCAAAGAAAATGTTAAATCTAAAAATGCCTAACACGAAACATTCAGGAAATCTGGAACACCATGAAAAGACCAAATCTAAGAATAATAGGAATAAGGGAGGCATCCAGGCAATGGGACCAGGTCCTGTGCTCATTGCATGAGTTGGCTGTTTGAAACCTGGGGCCTATGCAGGTTTGCTTGGCTCGGCCTGGGAGGAGGGGACTGGACCTGCCTGGACTGAGTCTACCAGGTTGATCTCAGTCCTCAGGGGAGGCTTTGCACTGGAGGAGGTGGGAATGGGGAGTGAGCTGGAGGGAAGGTGAGGGGGGCGGGAGGGGGGAGAACAAGGGAATCCGTGGCTGATATGTAGAACTGAATTGTATTGCAAAATAAAAAAAAAAATTATTCTTTCAGAACTTGGTATTGGTGAACCATCCCAACCAGTAAAAACTCAGCCCCCTATACATGGTAACTGTGAAATTTACTGGTTTTTGATGTATTCCTATATATTTATTTTATGTTATAAAATTAGGATACTTTTATAGTTATAAGTATTAAATTTCATGGAAAAAATAAATGTTTAAATAAAATTATTCCTCAAAATAAAAAAGAGAAATTTGAATAGAAAATCAAGAAAAAGAATAATAGGAATAAATGAAGGAGAAAAATCTCAGCAGAAAATATATTTATCAAAATAATAGAAGAAAGTTTCCCTAACCTAAAAAAGGACATGCCTATAAAGGTACAAGAAGCTTACAGAATATTAAATAGATTGGATCAGAAAAGAAAATCCTGACATCACATAATAATCAAAACACTAAACATATAGAACAAAGAAAAATATTGAAAGCTGCGAGGGAAAAAGGCCGAGTAACATATAAAGGCAGATCTATAAGAATTACACCCAGCTTCTCAACAGAGACTCTAAAAGCCAGAAGTACCTGAACAGATGTCTTGAAGACTCTAAGAGACCACAGATACCAGCCTAGGCTACTATACCCAGCAAAACTTTCAGTCTCCATAGATGGAGATATTTCATGACAAAGTCAAATTTAAATAACATCTATCCACAAATACAGCCCTCAGAAGGTGTTAGGAAGGAAAACTCCAACCCAGGGAAGTTAACTATACCCACAAAAACACGGGCAATAGATAATCTCACACCAGCAAAATCCAAAGAAGGGAAACACACACAAACACACACACACACAACCAACAACAAGAAGAACAACAAAATAACAGGAATTAACAATCACTGGTCATTAATATCTCTCAATATCAATGAACTCAATTTGTTAATAAAAAGACACAGGCTAACAGAATGGATATGAAAACAGGATCCATCCTTCTGCTGCATAAAAGAAAACACACCTCAACATCAAGGATAGACATTGCCCCAAAGTAAAGGGTTGGAAAAAAATTTTCCAATCAAATGAATCTAACAAGCAAGCTGGTGTAGCTATTCGAATATATAGCAAAATAGACTTCAAACCAAAATTAATCGAAAGAGATGGAGAAGGACATTTCATACTCATTAAAGGAAAAACCCATCAGGATGACATCTCAATTCTGAACATCTATGCCCCAAATGCAAGGGCACCCACATATGTAAAAGAAACATTATTAAAGCTTAGATCAGACATCAAACCTCACACATCAATAGTGGGAAACTTCAACACCATATTCTCGCCAATGGACAGGTCGTCCAGACAGAAACTAAAGAGAGAAATAATGGAACTAACAGATGTTATGACTCAAATGGACCTAGCAGATATCTACAGAACATTTCACCCAAACACAAAAGAATATACCTTCTCTTGGCAGCTCATGGAACCTTCTCCAAAATTGACCATATGCTTGGTCACAAAGCAAGTCTCAACAGATACAAGAAGATTGAAATAACCCCCTGTATCTTATCAGACCACCATGAATTAAAGTGGAATTTCAACAACAGAAATGACAGAAAGCCTACAAAGTCATGGAACCTGAACAACTCTCTACTGAATTAGCACTTGGTCAAGGAATAAATACCAAAAAAAATTAAAGATTTCCTAGAATTTAATGAAAATGAATGCATAACATACCCAAACTTATGGGACACAATGAAAGCAGTGATAAGAGGAAAGTTCATAGGACTCAGTGTCTACTATGAAAAAATTAGAGAATTCTCATACCAGAGACTTAACAGCACACCTGAAAGCTCTAGAACAAAAAGAAGCAGACACACTCAAGAGGAGTAAATGGCAGGAAATAAACTCAGGGTTGAAATCAATAAAAATAGAAACAAAGAGAACAATACAAAGAATCAGTGAAACAAAGAGTTGGTTCTTTGAGAAAAGCAACATAATAGACAAACCCTTATTCAAACTAACTAAAAAGCAGAGAGAGAACATGCAAATTAACAAAATCAGAAATGAAAAGGGAGACATAGCAACAGACACTGAGGAAATTCAAAAAATCATTATATCAAACTTCAAAAGCCTATACTCCACAAAACTGGAAAATCTAAAAGAAATGGAGTTTTCTTGATAGATACCATTTACCAAAATTAAATCAAGAGCAGATAAACAGACCCATAAACCCCAAGGAAATAGAAGCAGTCATTAAAAGTCTCCCAACCAAAAAAAGCCCATGATCGGATGGTTTTAGTACAGAATTCTACCAGACTTTCAAAGAAGAGCTAATACCAATTCTCCTCAAATTATCCCACAAAATAGAAAGAGAAGAAACAATGCCAAATTGTTTTTTATGAGGCCACAGTCACCTTGATACCGAAACCACATAAAGACTCAACAAAGAAAGAGAATTACAAACCAATGTCCCCCATGAACATAGATGTAAAAATACTTAATAAAATACTTGCAAACTGAATCCAAGAACACATCAAAAAGATCATCTACCATGATCAAGTAGGCTTCATCCCAGAGATGCAGGGATGGTTCAACATATGAAAATCTGTCAATGTAATACACCATATAAACAAACTGAAAGAAAAAATGCATTATCATCTCATTAGATGCTGAAAAAGCCTTTGACAAAATCCAACATCTTGGAAAGATCGGGAATAAAAAGGACATACCCAAACATTATAGAGGTAATATATAGCAAGCCAATAGCCAACACCAAAATTAAATGAAGAGAAACTTAAAGCAATTCCACTAAAATCAGGGACAAGACAAAGCTGTCTACTCTCTCCATATCTATTCAATATAGTACTTATTACTTGAAGTTTTAGCTAGAGCAATAAGACAACTGAAAGAGATAAAGGTAATACAAATTGGAAAGGAAGAAGTCAAAGTATTGTTACTTGCAGATGATATGACAGTATACATAAATGACCCCAAAAATTCTGCAAGGGAACTCCTAGGGCTGATAAATACCTTCAGTGAAGTGGCTAGATACAAAATTAACTTGAAGAAAATCATTAGCCCTCCTATATACAAACAATAAATGGGCTGAAAAAAGAAACCAGGAAACAACACCCTTCACAATAGCCACAAATAATATAAAATATCTTGAGGTAACTCTAACCAAGTAAATGAAAGACCTGTATGGCAAGAAATTCAAGTCTTTGAAGAAAGCAACTAAAGAAGACATCAGAAGATGGAAAGATCTCCCATGCTCATGGATCAGCAGGATTAACATAGTAAAAATGACTTACTGAAAGCAATCTACAGATTCAATGATATCCCCATCAAAATTCCATCACAATTCCTTACAGACCTTGAAAACAATACTCAACTTCATATGGAAAAAACAAAACACCCAGGATTGCTAAAACAATCCTGTACAATAAAAGAATTTCTGAAAGCATCACCATCTCTGATTTCATGCTGTATTACAGAGCAACAGTAATAAAAACCCAAATGGTATTAGCATTTAAAACAGACAGGTGGATCAATGGAATCAAATTGAACCCAGACATAAATCCACACACCTATGGACACTTGATTCTTGATAAAGAAGCCAAACTTATACAATGGAAAAAAAGAAAGCATCTTCAAAAAATGATGCTGTTATAACTGAATGTCAGCATGTAGAAGAATGCAAATAGATCCATATCTACCACCATGTACAAAACTCAAATCCAAGTGAATCAAAAACCTCAACATAAATCCAGATACACTGAACCTGATAAAAGAGACAGTGGGGCCGGGCGGTGGTGGCGTACGCCTTTAATCCCAGCACTTGGGAGGCAGAGCCAGGTGGATCTCTGTGAGTTCAAGGCCAGCCTGGGCTACCAAGTGAGTTCCAGGAAAGGCGCAAAGCTACACAGAGAAACCCTGTCTCGAAAAACCAAAAAAAAAAAAAAAAAAAAAAAAAAAGAGACAGTGGGGAATAGCCTTGAACACGTTGGCACAAGAGACAGCTTCCTAAACAGAACACCAATTGCACAGGCACTAAGATCGACAATTAACAAATGGAACCTCATGAAACTGAGAAACTTCTGTAAGGCAAAGGGCACAGTCAAAAGGATAAAACAGCAGCCTACAGAATGGGAAAAGATCTTCACTGACCCCACATCTGACAGAGGGCTAATATACAAAATATATTAAGAACTCAAGAAACTAGATGTCAACAAACCAAATAAGCCAACCAAAATACGGGGCATACATCTAAACAGAGAGTTCTCAACAGACAAATCTCAAATGGCCAAGAAGTACTTGAAATGTTCAACATCCTTAGCCATCAGGGAAATGCTACTCAAAACAACTCTGAGATTTCATCTTTCACCTGTCAGAATGGCTTAAGGTAAAAATTACTGATGACAGCTCATGCTGGAGAGGATGTGGAGCAAGGGGAACACTCCTCCACTGCTGATTGGAGTGCAAACTTGTACAGTCACTTTGGAAATCAATATGGCGGTTTCTCAGAAAACTAGGAATCAATCTACCTCAAGACCCAGCTATACCACTCCTGGGCATATACCCAAAAGATGCTTCACCATACCACAAGGACACTTGATCAGATATGTTCATAGCAGCTTTATCCATAATAGTCAGAAACTGGAAACAACCTAGATGTCCCTCAACTGAAGAATGGATAAAGAAAATGTGGTACATCTACACAATGGAGTATTATTCGGCTGTTAAAAACAATGACATCAGGAAATTTGCTTGCAAATGGATAAAACTAGAAAAGATCATCCTGAGTGAGGTAACCCAGACTCAGAAAGACAAACATGGCATGCACTCACTCATAAATGAATATTAACCATAAAGTAAAAGAGAACCATGCTACAGTCCACAGACCCAGAGAAACTTAGTTACAAGGAGAGCTCAAAGGGTATGGGGTTATACATGAATATCACTGTGAAAGAGAAATAGAATGAACATTGCCAGTGGAAGAGAGAGGGGCATGGAAGAAGGGATAGGGATGAGAACAGGAGGAATCAGGTTGGGGGAAGATGGAGGGAGAGAGTACTGGGAAAAACAACTGGAATATGGGGCATTTCTGGAAGAATTAGAAACCTAGTACAATGGAAACTCCCAGGAATCTATGAGGGTGACCCCAGCTAAGACTCCTAGCAATGGGAAATATGGAACCTGAACCAACCATCTCCTCTAACCAGGCAAGACTTCCAGTGGAGCGACTGGGACACCAACCCAGCCATAAACCCTTTGACCTACAATTTGTCCTGCCTACAAGATGTGCTGGGTAAAGGTAGCACAGAAATTATGGGAGTAACCAAATAATGACTAGCCCAGCTAAAGACCTATACCCTGAGAGGGAGCTCACCCCCTGAGGGCCAGGACCCACATGCAGGATACCCCAGAGACCTAGGATAGAACCAAACATGAATGGCAAAATAATAAGTCAATGAAAGATTCCTGTTGATATTCTGCTATACTCATAGATTGGTGCCTATCCCGACTTTCATCAGAGAGGCTTTACCCAGCGACAGATGGAAACAGATGCAGAGACTCACAGCCAAACATTAGGCAGAACTTGGGAAATCCTGTGAAAGAGGAGAAGGAAGGATTGCAGGACACAGTGGGGTCAGGGGCCCCATAACAAAACCCACAGAAACAACTAACCTGGGCTCACAGGGTCTTACAGACACTGAACTAACAGGCAGGGAGCCTGCATAGGACTAACCTAGGCCCTCTGCATGTATGTTACAGTTGTGTATCTTGGTCTTCTTGTGAGACTCATAACAGTGACAGCAGGGGCTGTCTCTGACTGTTACCTGCTTTTGGAACCCTTTCCTCCTACTGATTGCCTCGTCCAGCCTTAATGGGAGAGTAGATGCCTAGTCTCACTGTAACCTGCTATACCATGGCTGGCTGATATCCATGGGAGGCACACCTATATCTGAAGAGAAACAGTGGAGGAAGAGTGGATGGGGCCCGGGATGGGGGTGGGGTGGGGATGACTTTGGTTGGGATGTAAAAATGAAAAAGTAAATAAACAAAAAAATTTAAAAGAAAACAACACTCACTCAGTGTCTACTCATTCCTAAAAGTGGTCCAGTTTTCACAGATGATCCTAGAATTCAGCCAGGCACACTGGGACAGTTGCAGTGGTTGTTAAGATACAGTAACATGACCATAAACAGCTGAGAAACAGCTGTTGCACTTAGCCTCTCAGGAGATTACTCAACACTCTGAGTTCTTCTAGAAGATCTCCCACACCTCCCTGCCATCAGGAAACTAAAGGACAGTGTAAGGTCTCCAGTGTCTCCCTTTGGTTCTGACAGAACAATGCTCAGATGAAAATCATGTTAAGTATGTTTCTCTATAAGGGTGACAACTATATAGAAACTCTGCAGACCAGAGAGTGCGCTATGGAAGGTATTTTTGTTAGTTTTTAAAGAATAAGTTCATATCTTTTTAAAAAAAATAAAAAGCTTTTTTGCATTTCAACTTTTTTCTATGTGGAGAACTAGGAAAATGTGGAGGTACTTAAAGTTGCTGATTAAAAGGTTTTTTTTTTTTTTTCAAAGAATTAATTCCCCCTCTTCAAATATTGTCACCCATTTCCAAATTACCTTGTTTGTCTCCTGTTAGGATCCAGATCTTAATATTGGCTAGCGATAGACTTGTAACTGTTTCAATAACACCTTCTTGTAACTTATCTTCTACAGCAGTGGCACCTAATAGCTTTGTCAGAGAGTAAAGAATAACATGTTAATACACGCAAAGAACATATGTAACGTCCGTAGCTTTCAGTCAGAGTTTAAAGATAAAGGAAATGAAGACAACTTATAAAATGTGGATATAGCAAGCACACTATTGTGTATATAAATCAATCAGTTGAGTAGAAACCCAAAAGGAAGTGCGTAAGTGAAGCTTACTTAATAACAGAGGCCCAGGGAAGTAGAATTTACATGAGGGAGATGGGATGATGCTTGCATCAGTGGGCAGATGCTACTCCACCTCTACTGGTTTAAGAAGTCCCTTGCTCTTCCCCACTTTCAGTAGCAAAGGAGAGGTCCAACAAAGAGCCCTCGGACCCTAGTCAAAAAACTGAGGGGGCAAAAGGTAGTATCATTCCATGAATTAAGAGGTCATCAGGTGATCTAATAAAAAGTAAAGATGGTTCAGTTTTCACCCCAAGGATGAGACCTGCTTCCTATGACTCCCAGCAATCAACCTCCTTGGTCACTGGGGTCTCTGAGAAGAGTGACTTCTAAAACAGACCACACTCTGAGTAGTCCTCTTAGTCTCCTGGGCCGGGAGTACTTCCGAGCGACAGTCATGCTCTCCACATCAACTGTCTCTGCACTAAAAAGTGTGGATCACAAAACAGAGTGAGGAAACGAATATGTTGTATCAAAGATAAACCAGGGGTTGACAAATAGGGTGTCCACTATCCTTCACTTTTGGAGGACTTCCCTTGCATGAGCTATTGCTAACAAAGCCAGTCCTCCAGAGTCACTGGGGCCACACAGAGTAAGCTCAAAGCCAGCATATAAAGTGAGACTCTGCTGTGGGATGTTCTGTATGGCAAATGTGTTGCTGATTAGTCAATAAATAAAACACTGATTGGCCATTGGCTAGGCAGGAAGTGTAGGCGGGACAAGGAGGAGAATAAAACTGGGAAGTGGAAGGCTGACTCAGAGAGACACTGTCAGCCGCCATGATGAGAAACAGCATGTGAAGATGCCGGTAAGCCATGAGCCATGTGGCAAGGTATAGATTAATGGAAATGGATTAATTTAAACTATAAGAACAGTTAGCAAGAAGCCTGCCATGGCCATACAGTTTGTAACCAATATAAGTCTCTGTGTTTACTTGGTCGGGTCTGAGCTGCTGTGGGACTGGCAGGTGAGAGAGATTTGTCCTGACTGTGGGCCAGGCAGGAAAACTCTAGCTACAAGACTCCACATTGAGAAACAACCATCTGTTACTGCAAGATGACTTAGCCAAAGGCTTGAGCATAGGCCAGCACACTTCCAAACTTATACCATCAAATCTCTTTCAATGTCTTCATACAGCCCAGATATCCTTTCATCCCTGTCAGTGGTGGCAGCATTTGCATCTTCAAGCATCTCCTGCCACACTTTAAAGTACTTGTCATCAAGTTCTCTGTAAGCAATTGCCAAGGTGCGAAGGCCTTCACCTGCAAATTCCTGTAAGAGAGGATGTAATCTTAGGAACAGGTAGACAACAATAAATACAGCAAAAGTCCCCCACAACATGGGGAGGGTTTCATTCTCATTCATTTTGTCCCAAGAGCACTGCATGGCCATTCTGACCTAACTCCATATCTCCTCAGACATGGAAGAGTATAGTTGTGTTTTATGTTTATGTCTATGAGGTTTTCAGGGCACTAGCTTTCTCCCCAAAAACTGCTGAAAAGGTGTGTTGAAGTGTTCTAATTGGGAAGAAAGGAATGTCGTGGAAGAGAGGTCTGTTGGAAGCAACTACATCAGTGTCCAGCCTACTTTGCCTGTAGGAAGCATTCCTGTCCATAAGTCACAGCTTTAACTCCCAGTGATGAGGAGAGGCCCTTGGAGGAGTCACAGCTCTCAGGCAAAGAGACGGAGCCCTTTTGTGGACCGTATCAGGCTCTCTCACCAAGCCTTTCCACACACACCCCTAGTAAAGCATCCTTGATGAAAATTCAATGATTCTTACTTTTGTATCTGTAACTAGAGTTTTCCTGCCTGGCCCACAGTCAGGACAAATCTCTGTCACCCACCAGTCCCACAGCCGCTCAGACCCAACCAAGTAAACACAGAGACTTATATTGCTTACAAACTGTATGGCCATGGCAGGCTTATTGCTAACTGTTATTATATCTTAAATTAATCCATTTCTACAAATCTATACCTTGCCACGTGGCTCATGGCTTACTAGCATCTTCACATGCTTCTTGTCATGACGGCGGCTGGCAGTGTCTCCCTCCAACTTCCTGTTCTTTCTTTTCTCCTCTCTGTTAGTCCCGCCTATACTTCCTGCCTAGCCACTGGCCAATAGGTGTTTTATTTATTGACCAATCAGAGTAATTTGACATACAGACCATCCCACAGCATGTATCTACTTTAAAGTTTCCATAATAGAAACTAAAAGCAATCACTAATGAATAAGTAGATGCTAAACAGTTGAGTAAGAGAAGTCTGGTATGCTACCTATGGTTATGAGAATAACCTATGGAGGAAAAGGAAGAGAAAGGAATGAAAGATACTACAAGTATAAGCTCTGAGGGATGTCTTTTGTCTTTCATTCTAGACTCTTCTATGAAATAATTCTCTTCTTTACTACATTAAATTTCATTTTTAAGAACAAAACTTCTTTGAAATCTTGAAGATATCATCATCAAGTCAGACCAGCTCAAATATTCATTATTTGTTAGAAATTATATATTATGGAGTTAACTTTTAATAAGTAATCAAATATTGGGAAGTCATACTTTTCCTGTTAGTGTTAATTGTCAACCTGACACAGCCTGCAGTCATCTAAGAGGAAAGACTCAGCTGAGGAATTGCCCAGATCAGATTGGCCTTTTGATATGTCTATGGGAGGATTGTCTTGATTAACAGATGCAGGAAGGCCCAGTCCACTACGGGCAGGACCATCCCTAGGCTGTTAGTTCTGGGCTATGTAAGAAAGCTAGTAAGCATGAGCCTGTGAGTGAGTGAGTGAGTGAGCCAGTAGGCAGTGTTCCTCCATGGTGTCTGGTTGAGGGTCTTGCCTTTAATTCCTACCCTGTCACCCCCAATGATGTACTAAGACCCAGACATATAAGCCAATTAAATTAGAACACTTGGTATACTGACAATCTCATATGATTCTTCTGGTACTTTATCCTTCTAACAGGGGTGAGGAGTAGGAGATTGATGGCTGCTATGTGTCTCACACAGCCACATTAGCTAGAAATATAAGTAGACTGAGTTTGGGAGCAATGTTGAAAACCTCCCACATCACTTCTGCCTCCAGTGGTCATTTTATGGGCCTCCAAACTGTGAGCAAAGCATTTTAATAGCCATTTCTGCCCCTTTGGGCATTGCCAGTCATTAAACATGCTTCTCTATCGTTTTGATGTATAGTGCAGACAGAGTTTTGTGATCACACATGTGGTAAATCATGATGCATCCTAATTAGAAAAAAGAAAAGCCAGTGCATGGTGCAAAGATGCATTTTAGCCCAGAAAGACCACAAGAAACATTAACTGAATTCATCACCCAGGCAGTTGGTAGTAGCTGGGACATTGCATTCACATTTACAAGCCCTATCTTCCAAGAACATCACCGCATTCCCTTCTGATCAGAAAATCTAGTTACAGCCTTAAAACCGTCTTTTGTTTTCTCAATTCACACAGATGTGTCTTTGCCTTTAACTCACAACCCCACTGGGCATTACCACTGCCTCCCACTCCGTTCTGCACAACAGTGAGTCAACTCTAAGAGGACATTAGAAAAGGGGACAGATGCCTGAAGTCTTCTAATTAGTCATGCAACACACATTTAATCCAAAATGGTCATTTGAGCCAGGCCTTTGCCTATCATTAAACTATCCAAAATCAATGATTAAATACATGAATAAATTTAAAAGCCTAGAATGCAGATGGAAAATGACAAACGTGAATGAAGGTAATGCCAGGTCCAATTGATCTGCCCTAAAAACAATTAGACTGAAAAGGAAAACGAAAAGACCAAATTAAACTTTAATATGAAAGGAAAATGTCTAGAGCCTTGGTGTTTGAGTAATGACAAAAATCATATAGTTATTACTCCAATATTGTTTTAATTAAGAAAACTAAAATACCATGTCAATCTCTGGAAAATATTAAGAGGCAATCAAGAATGCTGTATTAAAAAGGAAAAAATAACTATGTTTGTAACCATTATTACTAAACCATCACTTTAAACTTAAAGTCAGGCAGAATATTTACATTTTATTTGTTTTTAGAAGAATCGAGGGGATGTTTTATAATCAAAACAACATCTGACAAAGGAACATGAATCTTCAATAATTTTAATGGAAGAATAAAAACTAATAAAAGGAGAATTTTGAACCATTTCCTGCAAAGTTTCACAGGGCTCAACCAGAACCTCAAACAAATAATTAGTATGACACGTGGACACCAGGTTTAAATCCACAGTGCCTCTATTATTTCCTAGACCCTTGCCCTTGAGAGGGGAACAAAGGTACAAAGATCACCTCTATGCCCCTGAGAAAGTTTCTGAAAACAATTACACTAGCCTTGGAATGTGTGGGTTGACACCCAGAACACATAAAGGACTCACAATCTGTAGCCAGAATGAAAGGAACTTTAAGAGAAAGTCGATTATCTCCAGAGATTATTGTCCCCTCACCATCTAAACACAGCCACAAAGTGGTGGCCCTGGAGAACCCTGAGCTCACCCCATTGTGTGGCTCTCCCAGCTGTCCTGTGCTAATCCACCTGTGGAGAAAGGGAGTGGCAGCCGCTTCCCAGACACTCACTGGCACTGCCCTTTGTGGCATGGCTCCCCAGCTGCCTTCTATTTCAGAAGTCAGCTTGTTTGCTGATCTTCATTAACGAGTGTCATAGTGGATGGCAAAAGGGCTCCTGTGCTGACCTCAACGTGGAGCACTTACGTTGAGATGGTCCGATGTCAAAGACAGCAGGTCTTTGTTGGAAGGATGGAGTTTCTCAAACAAAATAGTATCTGCTCCTTTGGAATAAAGTTTTATCTGTCCTTCTGGGTTTCGAACTGAAAAAAAAAAGAAGAAGAGTTTGGAAAAGCAGGTTATATAATTGAAATCTGTGAAAACTAGACTCTCCCAGGGCTCCAGCTAGCCCATCTGGAAATGGACATAAGGTTTCAGCCAGGAACAAAGAAAGTATTCAGGGCCTTTGGCTAGACAATCACTACCTAAGTCAGTAGGCTTTATTCCTGTTCAAATTAATTTAAAAATATTCCTTCCACTGGAAGTTTTTGATTTCCCAAACTCAGAAACAAGTATTTTTATGCTTTTATACATGACCTACCAAGCTCTCTATTGCAAAATGGCTGAAAGACTTAAATTAAGCCATGTGTATTAAAGAGAATTAAGAGCTTTGTTTGAAAGTTCTTGGTGTGGAATTCAAGATCTTCCGTTTAAATAAATATCACTATCATACCAACTCATTTCCACATGGAATTCTAGCCACTCAAGTTGTTACCATCTAGGGGTCTTGATAGAGTTCATTTTCTCTGCCATTTGAAGAATTAAAAGGCAGCAAAGATCACCGAGTCAACAGAATCTAGCAGTGAAGAAAGACTTATTAGAAGTAAGAATACACACACACACACACACACACACACACACACACACACACACACACACACACACACACAGAGGGGTGGGGGGACCTTCAAATCAGAGAGATACTCCAGAGCCCAAAATTCAGTCTCTCCTCCAGGGCTGGAGGTTTTAAGTATCTTTGGGAGTTCTTCCTCCCCTACTTTAGGGCTGGCCAGTCTGGAGAAAGACAGGGTGGCTGATAGGACCCCAACTTGGTGAACCTGTTCTAATCCTTCCTTTGTGGTCCAACAGAAAGGGAGCCTTATTGGTGAAAGCAAAGCAGGCCTTTGTTTTAAACTGCCAGACTTTTGTCTCAGGTCTGGAGGGTGAGGGGAAAGCTGTTGTCTTTGGAACTTAGTCATGGCCCTCTCCCTGCCCCTCTGGTCTGCCTGACTCCCTGCCCCTCTGGTTTGCCTGACTCCCTGCCCCTCTGGTCTGCCTGACTCCCTGCCCCTCTGGTCTGCCTGACTCCCTGCCTCTCTGCCTGACTCCCTGCCCCTCTGGTCTGCCTGACTCCCTGCCCCTCTGGTCCTTGCTCTGCTGCTCTTTTCTGCCCTTTCTGGCATGGAAAAAGCTCATTCATTTTAGTGGTTTGTTCTTGGGTCAATCATAGCTACAAATATACATCACAGAATTTAAAAAACTTGAGTTTCTACCCTTCTTCCATTGGAAGTCTGTTATTTGTAGGGCTGATTTCCCTTGTTCTCCAGATTCAAGAATTACAGCCCAACTAGAGTTTCTGTTTCACCAAACTCCCCTGCATGCTCTATCAAATCTTATTCTCCAGTCACATAAGAGTTGGCCCAACTTTGTAGACTTGGTTTTACATTTTTAACACACACTAGGCACTTAATAATCTGAATAAATGAATGAGCGAATGAGTGAACAAATGAATCATGAGGTCATATATTTCTTCCTAGGAGATCCAACAATGTGAGACAACTTCACTTCATAGTCAGAGCACACACCTTCATTGGCTTTATCAATTAAATCATAGAGATCATTTCATGCTTTCCACTTAAAGTATTCTCTAAAAATAGAATGCCTCAGAACAGGAGAACATAAATATACTTTACTATTCATTTAATGGGAATGAGGAAACGATAGGAAATGGGCTGGTGTAGGTAATTTAAGCCAAGGTATAAGAAAAATTGCACCAGATCATGCAGCAAGGAAAGCTGGCCAAGGGTCTTAAAACAGAAAGCCATGACAAGACCCAGGGCTGAGAGATTCCCAGAGTGATGTGCATCTGCTCAAGCTAGGAGGCGTTAGAGTCTTTTGATAACAGTTTGACGATCTGGGGGATGGGGTGGTGATAGGGTCTCACTGTATAGCCCAGGCTGCCCTTATACTTCCTGTGTGCTGGAATCATGGGAAGCACCATACCTGGCTATTAGACTCATCATCTTTTAAAAGTTTACAGTTGAGAATTCTTCAACTCACATCAGATTTTGAGAGCCAATGTAATTTATTCTTTAGTGGTGATCTGCTACCTGCCTCATTTCAATGGGTTTTTATTGTTGTTGTTAATGTTGTTTGTTTGCTTGCTTGTTCTTAACTCTAGACCTTAATGTACTGAACAGATGCAATGAGTTCTCCTTAATGGTATAATGAGATTCATATGTTTGTTAATAAAGTCTATAATCCTTGACAAAATACTATAGAAAACAACTTTTATTTAAACAGCACTAACTTCAATAGGGACTCTCTTGTCTTCAATACCAGCATGATGGTAATGAAACTATACATTAATAAGTTGATGAATGCTAGACCCCAAAACAAACAAACAGTAAGGCAGAAAATGAAGGAGGAATCAGAAGGGGAAGAAAGGGAAGAAATGGTAACGGGACACTGAGAGAGAAATCATAGCAGCAGTGTCTAAGCCCTCACAAGGGTATTGTCCCCATAGAACAAGCCACGTGACAATCAGGAGGCTGGCATTGCTTCCTGCCTAGAATCAAACAGACGTTTCTGCTCTAGCTGAGTCCCCTTGAATTCCTCCCTGACTGAAAACCAAGCAGCCAGAATGAAGTCTGCCAGCCCCGCTCTGCGCTGAGCATTGCCCTTCCCCATATGGGGTCCATTAAGGCAGACATCTGATGTCTGCGGTTAGGCTGAGAATTCCCCACAGCCTGTAATGGTGACCAATGCTGAGCAAAAGCCAAACTTCTCCCCATATAACAATCTTAGGTTTTTGTCAACACCCTCCGAGCAAAATGAAATCCATGCCAAGCCAACTGAGGACCACTGACATCTCCCTGGGGTTGTAAATAGAGGATAGTGCCTGCTGTTGCAATGCTAAGCCAAAACCTACAACAACCTGCGTGCTTTTTAGTGGATGGAAACTGCCTGTGGCCTATTATCATAAAAAAATATTAAAATGAGCAGCCTCAGAACAATCTCTCTCATACTATGTTCCAGTAAAGACTCCAAATCCTACCACTATGGATATATACATTTTCCATAGTAGGAATTCATTTAATACAATGACCAAGATGTTCGTAAGTTACAAAGTATTCGCTAGAATTTCATTCAACGAATATTTGTAGAGACTGTGTGCCGGTCTGGTGCTTGGCCCTGGGCAGTATGAAGATAAGGCTGCCTGACCTCAGATAGCACCCAGCCTATATACTGTTGCTATAACCATGAGTCCCAGGAGATGGAATCTCACTGCTGTATCAAACAAAGCATTCTGGCGAATACCATAAGAAATAGTTACTTGAAGGAGCTTGAACTGTTTAGGAGGCCCCCAGGCAGTGGGACTGGGACCTGTCCTTGGTACATGAGCTGGCTTTTTGGAACCTAGGGCCTATGCTGAGACACTTTGCTCAGCCTTGGTGCAGGGAGGAAAGGACTGGACCTGTCTCAACTGAATCTACCAGGCTGGGCTGACTCCCCAGGGGAAACCTTGCCTTGGAGGAGGTGGGAATGGGGGGTGGGTTGGGGGGGGAAGTTGGGGGGGGAGCAGGGAAGACAGGGGAATTCGTGGCTGATACGTAAAATTAAATTAATTATAAAATAAAAATATGTATTTAAAAAATCAAAAAAATAGTTACTTGGAAAATAAGAAAAACAAATGACATTTAAATTGGACATTATCAGATCAGAAGGAGTTTTCAGCAAAAAGGAATTAGGGAAAAGGGTTGTTCTATATATACATTAAATACACACACACACACACACACACACACACACACACATACACACACACTGTATGCTATGTGACACTCTCAGACAAATGACTTAAATTTTTTTTTAGTTTAGTTTCTTGTGTCCTGCATGAGGGTGATATATTGTTGCAATAACCCATTGCTATAGTTAACGAGGCAATACCACGTAGCTTATCTGGTAATTAAAAGAGGTTTATTTCAGGGATAACTTACAACCAATAAGGGGTTGATTACAGGATCTGGGAGAGATGAGGTACAGTCCAGCATAGTTCTCTGGGGAACGCTGACTTGGTCTGCAAATCCAGCCTCCAGGACCATGAGGAACTAAGAGAGCGAACACATATGCATCTCCAGTCTTAAGGGGTCCCTCTTGGCCACACCCCAGGGGCAGGTCATAGGCAGGTGTGGCAGTTACTTGCTGCCACACTAGGGGCAGTGTTTTGAGGTCAAAGCTGGAACAGCTACGCACTAAAATAACCCTCACCAGAGAAGCTTCTATCTTTGATAAATGATGATTAGCATAGAGACCCGTAAGCAGTCAACACACAGAGAATGAGAGACTGTGGGATGTTCAGCCCTAAATGGGACATCTATATCACACCCCTCGTCCCAAAGCTCAGGGATCATTACAGAAGAGGGAGCAGGAGTCTGACTCAAAGACAGTGGATGACGACAAAGAAACAGTATCTTCCAAACACAACAGGGCAGCGGCATATGAACCCACAGCAGTTGTGTCAGCATGCCGAAGACCTGTGCAAGCTCAAGCCAGACAAAATTCCAGCATGGAGTGGGGAGGGGTGGACATGAAGTCCTCTAGCCAAGGAACTACTTGAAATTGATAGCTTCTGGGAGGGGGGAGAGTCAGTTTTCTTTAAGAATGTAGACCCTGGAAAGTTGACCACACTCCAGTGGAAGGCCACACATCCAAGAATATATGGGCAGCACACGTTGAACTTGATAGGTTAAAGAGAAGGGGAAAAAAAGAGGACGGAGTTGGGTGGGTAGGGAAGGAGGAGGTTGATCTGGGAAGAGAGGGGACAGGAAGTAGAGATGATCAAAACACGTTATATGAAATTCTCAAAGAACTAAGAAAAAAGGATAATTTTTAAAGATTTAAGAAAATACTTCCTTGGGCATGTAAGAGGGCTGAGAAAAGGAGTATGTAACTAGTCTGAGGACACTGAAGTGGTGCTGAGGGTTAGTGCTGAGTTATAAAAGCTTGGATGTGACGTGGTACTAAATACAGTAGTAAAGCATCATCTCCAGCAGTGGAATAAACAGAAATAATGAATGATGTGAGAAGAGCTGATGATGCTGAGCAGAAATGATGAGTGGATACGAGAATGATCCATGATACCCACAACAACCAGCACAAGCTACACAATTCAGAAATTCTCCTGAACTGGAGTTGAGCAGCACTCCAGCCAGGCTTCTGGATGTGACTCCACTATGTTACCAGTTTTATGGACTCAGTCAGGAAAGTTGCTCAACTTTTCTGTATATCAATTTGATTATCTATAAAATGGACATAAAAATAAATAGCGTGTACTTTATTAGGGTTTTTGGGGTAAAGCAGTTTCTTCAGGTAGAAAATTCAGAATAATGTTGGACAAGGAATAAGCTCTTGTTGAATTTTATTCATATATTATTACACTTTTGAGGTTAAGTGGAGGATCATGAGAGTTTATAAAGTTATAAAAATGTAGCACATAGCCAAGAGTTAAATTATCCTCAAAAAGTGCCATCACAATTACAGAAACATCAAAAGATCAATGATAATCTCAGCTAACAAACATACCTATAACAGACATCCTTTTCCTGATGTTGTTGAAATCCAAAAAGGCAAGTAACTGATAAGTAACAGGTGTTCCCAGTTCTTCTATTGTTATTGTCTCTGGGGTCCGAGACTTGAAAATGAACCCAAAATTTCTAGCAGCAGTTACTAGAGCTCCTTCATCGGGTGATTGAACTTGGTAAACTAGTTGTCCTAAAATGAAAAGAGACATTCAGTGCTGAAGGTTGTAACTCATGTTCATAATTCCAATGCTAACCCCAATGTATTCTTTACTACCCAACTCTGGCATCAACTCTAGACACTTTCCTATCCTTAGATAACAGCCACTCACCAACCATATGAAGCCCTGGGATATCCCAAGTCTCCACGCACACCACCATGCAGCCCTTCCCTTCCTGTAGCAAAGTGTCCAACTGTGAGTCTGCCTCCCCACTGTGATAAAAGTTTCTTGGTTCATTGATGAGAAGCTCTTCACTTTCAGTGACTAGAGAGTCTAACTGAAACATCGCAATACATTAACTCATATAATACTCAAGGTAAGCCTTTGGAATAAAGATTATTTAAATAGTTATTTTCATTTTTTATACTGATGGGACCTATGGCTGAAAGAGATGGTATGGTCATTAGAGAAATCAAACAAGAAGTGAGAAAGCAGATATTCTGGTCTTTCCCTTGATAAGTACTAATGACCATTTTATGAGGTCAAATGTATAAAAGTCCACCAAAATACAAAGGATCAAATCAAGATGTTAAAGACTTGTTGCTCAATAGTGTGTGTGCTGAGGTAGAGCTAAGAGGGGAAAGAAAGAATGAAACATGCAGAATGACTAAAAATACATTAAAAATAAAAGTAATTTCATTTACAAAAAATTATACCATGTTTAAAAAATGAATTAGAAGATGCAAGCGTGGGCATATTCATGTTTACTGCTTATAATGCTCAAGATAAATTATTAAATAATTGTGTTTTCTATTAGTGGGTATACTATGATTCCTTGTGAAAAGTAAAATCCTACTTCTCTGCAAGTCCAAGAGTGAATCAGTTAAGAGGCTAAGGCAGGAAGATTTCCTTAAGTTTGAGGTCAGTCTGTGCTACATAGGAAATACTAACCTAGTCAGGGATACATAGCAAGACTCTGTCTCAAAAAATCAAAAGAGAAATAGAAATGATAAAACAGTTACTTCAGAATCTCTCATAGTTTACCAGCAATAAGTAAGCCACAATTTTACCACTAGTAGGTAGAAATTTATAAAATGAATAAATAAACATTGTCTACAGATTAAAGAAGAAACAAATGTTACAGAACATAAAATAGATAAATATATGCATGAATCACACAAAATTGACTACAGTTACAAAAATAGCACCTGTGAGTTTTTAAAGGAATGGAGACTATCATGGGAATATTCCATGTGCCAGGACAGGGCTGATAACCAATGAAGGATCTTTGTTTTGCTCAAAAGATGCCCCATGCTTTCATGAGTTTATTATGTTAAAATCCCGATGTTAACCACTAAAATAATAGAGGCACATTGTTTCCAAAGTAGTAGGATTCAAAAGGACTAAATCTATGAAAAGACAAAAAAAGAGGAGTCTAAGAAAGAAAAGGCAGGACAACAACAAAATAAGATGGTTGAAAAGAACTCCAAACGTTATCAACACTTGAGCTTTAAGTATTTCAAACTAAGTGTAGTGACACCAAATGAAGGCAAATGGCCTGTGTGTTTTCTTTATCCTTAGCTTTGTCTGCTCTGATTTTTTAATGTTAAAATATATTATTTATGAGAGATGTATCCAAAATGTGAGGGAAGAGACAAATAAAGACTAGCAAAAGCCAAGTGCACAAACGTCTAAGAAGGAAGAACAGTCAACTACGGTAACCTCTAAGACACAAATGACAACTGGAGATAAATGAGATCAGAATATACTGAGAAAGGCTGTGATTTAATGAAGATAGAAGTCTGAACATTGTCTAACATGACCGTATAAAGCAAACATTGGCAGAATACAAACATCATACAAGTGTACTGTTCTATCCAGTGCTCTTGGCATACTTTGATGAGCTGAGAAACTGAGTTGTCAAAACAATCCATTAACAAAACACTGAAGATTGCTCATATCTTTAATTCTAGCACTTAGAAGGCTGAAGCAGAAGGATTGCCATGAGTTTGATGTCAGCCTGAGCTATAGAATAGCACTCTGATATCAAATAAACAAACAAAGAATGAGAAGCTTTAGTAATATAATTGAAATATTGTTAGACATATATGTTTAGAACACAGTACCCCCAAATCATAGAACATGCATTCATCTCAAGCATTTATTAAATGTTTATGAAATCAAGCATATACTAAGCCATTATTAAGCTTCAACAAATTTTAAAATTAGTATAATAAGGAAATAAAATAAGTCTTATTTTTAAACTTATTTTATTATCATTTACTGAAACAGAAAAGAAAAGAAAAATCTTCCTACCAGGCAGTGGTGGTAGACACCTTTAATCCCAGCACTCAGGAGGCAGAGGCAGGAGGATCTCTGTAAGTTCGAGGCCATGCTGGTCTACAAAGCAAGTTTCAGGACAGCCAGAGCTGTTACACAGAGAAACCCTGTGTAACAAACAAGCAAACAAAAATCTTCCTAAAGTACTTGGATTTCCCACTCTCTTGTTTTGAAACTTCGCTCTGTTAGAGACTGAAAACCACAGCCTCTCCAAATAACTTACCCCATGAAACAAATGCCCTACACTCATAGCAATATCCTCAACCATGAGCTGACTTTTAAGTATTAAAACTAAATGTTAGATTTGAACTCTCTTCTCTATAAGTGACATTTATACAGAAAAAGTTCAGTTTTGAATGTTCTTTAACATGTATGGATTTGTTTGAGCCTGAGCTACACATTCCACAATGAAAGCTTTGAAACAAAAGCAAGTTCACATTTCCTCAAGACATAACCCTGTCAGTGGAATCTGGAACCATGCACATTTCTAACTCTGATCTCTTTGGAAATCCTTTTAAGTGGCAAAGACATTAACCAGCCATAAGAATGGCTGAAAGGTAAGAGTAATCACAGGAAATGCTGAGTGGGGAGTGCAGATGGCTGGAGTGCTCATTCATGCACAGTGGGGATATAACACGATACATTAATATTTTTAAGAAACAGTTGAACTGTTTCTTAGAAGTTTAAACATATCCTTATTTGATGAGCTGGAAATTTCCATTCCTAGTATTTAGACATCCTCCTTCCAATTTTTTTTAACAAATGATTTTTAAAAGACATAAAAAGTCTTTGTGGCAACTTTACTCACAAAAACTGGAATAATCTAACCACATATTAACAGAGAACTGGAAAAGGTTGTGGCATGTTCGTACAGGGGAATGTGACTTTAATAAAAAAGAAATTCAGCCGGGCGGTGGTGGCGCACGCCTTTAATTCCAGCACTGGGGAGGCAGAGCCAGGCGGATCTCTGTGAGTTCGAGGCCAGCCTGGGCTACCAAGTGAGTTCCAGGAAAAGGCGCAAAGCTACACAGAGAAACCCTGTCTCGAAAAACCAAAAAAAAAAAATAAAAAAATAAAAAAATAAAATAAAAATAAAAAAATAAAAAAGAAATTCATAACTGAGATACCAGCACTGATGACAGAACATAACACATAGAGTGGATACTGTACAATTCTGCTTATCTGGAGGATAAAAATGGCAGATTCGTCTTTAGTAATAGACATCATATCAGGGCTTGGGTGGGCTAGAGTTTATAGAAACTGAATGGGAAGGTCAGGAGTAACCTCACTGCATTAATGGAAAAGATTTATGCCTTGATCCAAGCAGTGCTTCTAGGGATATTTGCAACTGTCAAATCTCATCAAACTTCAATTTTTATGCTTGTGCATGCATGTACTTTGAAGATCTGGGCACTTCAGTACATTGAGATGTAGCACAACGTCAATTTTTAATAATGCTAGAATTGAAAATGAATCTACAAATATGAGAACTATCTGAAAGATAAAATGCCAAATTGATCAATAAAGAAATGAAGATAGAAGGGGGGAAATCATAGTTCAAAACATTTGCAGAAGAAAATGAAGGCAGAGGTAAGAGGAAGCAAACCCAGCCAACAAATGGAAATAGAATCTTGGAGGCCTCATCAGTAAAACTGCTTAAAGAACTCCATCAGCACTGCTGGACCACTGTGCTCCTTCTCCAACCAGCTCACTCTGAGTGACAGGCTGAAGCAATTACTTCTTCCCTGGATGCATCCTTAAAAATATTTTTCTACACTGTGTTCAGGCCACCTCAAGAAAGGGTCAAGATCTGAGTCTGGGACCTGAGACCAGAGGTAAGTGAGCACAATAGTGTCAGACTACCACAGACCAGGAGGGGAAAGAGAAAGGGGGTGTGTATACAGTTCTGTCTAGTAAGAACCCTGTCAGATTCCTTGTGCCAGCCCTGGAAAAGCAAGACAGTGACATAGGTGGATGTGATGCCCAGAACAGAGGACCCCACACCCAGAAGGCCATTCGTGATCTGCCTCATCCATACAATCTTGAGCAACAGACTACAGTAATAAATGGCATTCATCAAGGAGGGATTCTGTCACACAAAAAGGAACAGACAACCAGAAATCACCAAACATTTGAGAACAGCATGAAAGTTAGATGCAGAAGGTGGGGAGGGAGGGAGGGAGGAAAAAAGGGGAGAGAGAGAGGGAGGGAGGGAGGCATGGAGGGGGGAGAGAGAGAGAGAGAAAGAGAGAACACACTCAATAAAATACAGCACACTGGATGAAACAAAAGCAAATTTCAAATTAAGTATAATTAATATCCTCAATGAGATCTAAAGAATATCATAACATTAATGGAAAACAGATTGCTATTAAAATGAAATAGGGTTTGGGAAATTAAATAAACTCAAAAGGCAGAAATAAAAGAGACTTCCTTAAGGCAATTCCCAGAAGGGAATATAATAATTCCTTGTGGTGTTAATATTATAAAGATCAATTAAAGCCATAAATATAATTATGTGAATCTTCAAAGCAATTAAAATCTAAAGAATGGGTTAATCCAGCACTTATTACTTCCTTGGGTAGTAATTTTAACTTAATATTTGGTAGTGAAAAAGAAACAAAACTTACAGGTGGGTCTGTTAGACTTCGAAGGAAGAAGCTGACTCTTTGCATCATTGATTGCCTCCCAGCATCAAAATGCAAAGTAAGCCAGCTGGTTTTGTTGTATTTTATAAACCCCGAGCTCCAAACAACCATGTAGCATGTAAAAGGCCTTGACCAGCATGATGACCACAGTGTTCTGATGAAGATTTATCCCCATTCTATGGTCATCTTTATCCATTAGAAGTTCATGTGCTATGTGACTCAGCTGTATCTCCCTATTTGTTCTGGGTACTAGAAGTTTTACAGTCAAATGTGGTGCTCAATCATAAGAAGCATTTCATCCCAGTTGAAAGACATATTTGGATCTTTAGCTTTCCATTGGTACTGTAACTTTTTCTTTAAAGTATTTATGGGGACTGGAGTGATGGCTCAGCAGTTAAGAACACTGGCTGTTCTTTCCAACAGTTTGAGTTCAATTCCCAGTACCCACATAGCAGCTCATGCTTGTCTGTAACTCCAGTCCCAAGTGATCAGACACCCTCTTCTGGCCTCCATGGGCACTACACACAAATGGTACACAGACACACATGCAGGCAAGACAGACATCCATACATGTAAATAAAATTAAGAAAAAATAAAAATATTTCCTTGTTTATGAGATGCATTCAAGATATAAACAAATAGAAAGGTAATGACAAGAAACTCTTGTTTGAATATTCTACCTTTAGTTCAGAAATCCTTCAATTTTGATATCAGTGCTTATCTTTATTATATTTTTTGAAAGGTTCACTACTCAAACACATTTCACTTACCTGCACTATCCTCCTCCGACATTACAGTATGGCAGAGAGCAAGTAAGCGAAGAAATTCATGTACTTTGGGGTCCCCCCGCTCAATGGATTCCATCAGACTGTGGTCAAAGAAATGAAGTCTTCTTTCTGATTGAGATTTGCCTGAGAAGTCCACAGCCTCCTTTTTCTGTAAGAGAACACCACCACCAAGTCAAACCTTTTCCTACCAATAATCCATTGCTGTCTTTTCATTTTTGACCTTTGTACTTTTCATGGGGTTGTAATTACCTTACTTTAAAAAAAAATCTGCAACCACTAATTTATCCCAGATTATTTGAAAAACAGAAAATGTCTAGTATACATTCACATACTGCTGTCTTGGAGGGGAGTTCATTAAGACACAGAATGTTAAAGAGGAGGTGAAACATTCCATCCTGCAGTGAAGATCTTTAAACTCAGCAAGTAAACAACTCAGAATAGCTTCAGGAAGTCCCTGAAACCAAACAGATTCAACAGACACCCCCTCTCCTTCCACAAGTGTATAAGCAGTAAAGCCATTTAATAAGCTGTGAAGGAGACCCTCAGACCAGAAACACTGCCTGGAAGGGGCAGAGACTAGCCAGGCTGCCTCGAAGAGACTCAGACCGACTGAGCTACCTGGAAGGACACTCTCCAGCCTGTTGAGCTGCCTGTATGTTTTGCAGGTTTCCAACCTTCGTGAGCTGTCACCACACTAAGGTGGTCTCTGGTGATGCAGCTTCTGAGACATTCTGCTCCTCTAAGTAACCCCTCACCCATTTTCCTATAAATCCTCATAGTCCAATAAAGCTCATTGGACTTTGGTCTGCCTTCAGTTCCCTATCTGAGGTGAGTAGGTGTTTGTTCTCATATTCTTAGAATAGTGTCACATAACACCATCACCACATACTTCTGTCCATTTGAGAACTCCAACCTGATCTCCATGTTTTGTCCTTTTGTTGATTTCATGCGGTCATTACCCCACCTTTAAGACAATTATATTGTGATTTTGGAAGCTTTATGACAGTCTTATAAGTAATAAAATGTCCATTTCCCTTCCTAAATAGATGGTATCTCTCAACTTCTCACTTTATAGGGACACTACAACCATTCAATTACTCTGACCCTCCACTTTTCCACTGCGTTCCCATATCCAGGCTGATAACATATACCTTCTACTTTGTAACCAAAATTAAGTGTCCTCTCCAAAGATAAAATCATATTGCATTATTTAATGTTATCCATTTAACAGTTAAGCTTCACACTGTGGCTAGACTTCCTTTTCTTTGGCTCCAAAGTCTGAATCCATATGCACCTCACAGGAATGTTGAAGTACAGCTACCTGGACACACCCCCTCCATGTCCAGAATCATCCTTAGTTTTGAGAGAACGCTAATTCTCATGTATTCTTCTTTTACAAAAGTTACAATGCATCCTTTTGTGGGATGAAAAAAATGATGCTTTTGGCAATACACTCCTTTCTCCCTCTGGGTTCTGTTCACTCCCTGATCCAGGAGCTACAGGGCTACAGGGTCTACAGAGCTACAGGGCTATGCTCTCCCCAGAGGCAGCTGTCACACTTTCAGCCCCTCCACCACTATAGAGCTGGGATCACCTACAAAGCCATTTAACAGAGAGCAAAAAAATGGCATCTGGGGCTGAAGCTTGAAGCAGCATTGAGTTCACTCACTACTCCTTAGCATCAGACCCTATGGGATCACAGGATCCCTAACTAGTTGTCTTGACCCTATCCCCCACATTGAATACCTCGTAAGAAGCCAAGGAAGATGGAGTAGCAGGGAGAACTGAGGTGTTCTAGCTTTCTACAAGCAGCCCTGTCCCTGCTATCCCTAAGAGTAGTGAGACTTGATAACACTGAAGGACTTTGCAAAGGTTCCTCTGAACCTCAGAAACAGAGATTAGGGGTCCATCATAGCCAGGTCCACAGCACTGACAACGAAGAGCCCCAGAGCCTGTGTCAACCACATTCAATAAGCATGTAGACTAGGACAGTCTGCATGCCGGTGGCACAATTCAAACACCTTTCCACTATGTCTGTAGTGCCCTGGTAACCTGTCATCATACTCTCACTGAGATATCCTGTTCCCAGTCCAGCAGAGCAGCCAGATCCCTGAGTTTAGCACTGTTCCAAGAGGAATGAAGAATAGGGTGGGATTCTGCACAACAGGGGCAGGCTGGTGACTGTGGCTAGAGTCCCAGAGCCCAATGCCTTCTGAATTTCTGGGCTGAGACCCTGGTGTGACACAGAGACCCAGCCCCCCAGGATGAGACATGCAGCTCATTCCCACTCCTATGGCCCGGGCTCTGGCTGAACTGTTTAGTAAAATGGGAAGATATGGGACAGGGAGGGGCCCTGGTGAGGGACTGCAGAGTCAGCCCTCACTGGCACTTGGCCATGTAGGGCTGAAAGTGTTTCTGTCAACCAGAATTGTGCTGCTTTGTGAAGCCAACCAGTGTTGACCACTTGGCACCGAATCTAGTTGTCCGGTCCACCAGGTCAGTGAGCATGCCTTCCTGAGGCAGCACGGAGATAAAGGTGCAGATTAACTGCCAGTTATGGGTCTCCCTCTGCTCATCAGTCTTGAGCTTCTGTTTCTCCATGTTCCCCCTGAGACAAACCTCACAGTTTACAGTCTTGGCTTCCATACACTTCAGCATGATTACCTAGTACTCCCCCGCCCCCCACTCACGGGCTCACTAGGCTTTCTCAGACAAGTCTTCTCTCCACTGTCTTTTACTACCTCCTCCTCCTCAGGGCTGCTGGACCCTGTTACCTTGGCTTAATCTGATAGAAGATGAGGAACCCTTCCCACCATCTGAGTGCCAGGGGACTCAGTTCACCACCCTCAACAAGGTGCGGCAGGCAGGCCTGTGCTGATGACCCAGGTTACTGACATCAACACCCAGTCAACTGGGTCTCTAAAAAGCACTTTGGTGATGTGGGAGATGACAGGTCCAGAGGACTGTGTTGGCCTGACAGAGAGGATCTGCGTGCGGGGGTGGGTTGAGAGCACTGCCAATCTTGGCAGCTGTATCTGTGCTCTCGTTGGTAGAGGTGGGGAGGGCACTCGGTGTGTAGGCACGGTCACACCTGGACTCCAGCCCCACAGCTAGTCCTGATAAACAGAATCGACAGATCTTCCTGGGATTCTTGAAGCTTCTCAGCCCAGATGTTGATGATGTCGGGCTGTGACACTGACGGCTGCCTGTCTGCAGAACTACCCACTGAGCTCACTTGTCGCTAACAGCAGAACTGAGTTCTGCATGTCATCCTTGTCACTCTCTGGGCTGTCCTGGCCATGGGAGTGCTGCTGAGGTGGGCACACCGCAGCTTGACTGCAGTCCCTCCCTGCTGCCAACTCTTCTCCCTGCCGCATAGGGTCCTTGACGTTGCTGTGATCGCCTAGAGAGGCTGGCAGCAGCCAGACACAGTGGATAGAAGTCAGGGGGACTCCACTGAGGCTGCTTCCCGGCGGCTTCACCAAGAGATTGAGTTTGCTGGGAGAACTATGGGTTTGAACTTGTGGGCATGAACCAGCCACCTCCTCTGTACCACTTGCGTGGGTGCCCTCAGAGTTAGAGCCCTGCCTGCCTCCAGGGGGTCTTGCCTCTGTGTGGCTTGGTCTCCCCCAAGGAATTGTGACTCATGACACTTGTGAGTCTGAATCAGCTTGACTGTGTTTTTTTATAATCCCTGCATGGCCTCCATGGCTGTTTGTCAGTTCACCTTCAGAACAGATAGCCTAGTGCCATACTTAACCTGTGGTTGGGTGCCACTTGCAGAAGCAAGGCCCATATGCTTCATGGTGACCCATCAGGCTTCATCTGCCTACTCCCTCCCTCACTCCCAACCCAGGGCTCATGACCAGTAGGGTGGCTTTTCATCCCAACCAGCTCAGTGATTGGCACATAGATGACAATGGGGCCTGCACTGCTTCCTGGAGAAGTGATGTGCTTCTGGCCTGGCATGGCAATTATGTGCCTTGGCTTGCTTGGGGGCATTGCCAATTGCATAGCCTTGGCTCCCAGGACCAAAGCCTTTAGTGACATCTTTTGCGTGGCTCAGGGTAGGATCCACATCCATATTTCTGCAGTTCAGTGGCATACTAGGCTAAGCATGAGTGTTAGAAGAGGTGAAAATCAGCTGGTGGCAAAGGTCATGGCATTCACAGTGTCACCTTCAGTTGTATTTCCCACCAGTGTGCAGACCTTGCCTTGTCATGGGGCCTGCATTTTTCCATCCGTTAGAACAGGAAGATGAATCCATATACCTGGCATTTTTCTCTCAAGGTCACAGAACTCCACTTGTACCCTTTGACATCAAAATTTGTGGGAAATCTTGACCTGACTAAATTTTAAAAGCAATATCTGACCTGAAATAGTATGTGTCTTGTTCTAACCCTTTTGAACTATTATACTTGTGAATTAACATATAGCAAATATAGTAATGTGTTCTATAAATCTATAATTCTCACTAAAGATTTCAAAAGAAAGTGATGGATGCAACATACTATTTTTCTATAACCCAAAGCTTGTGAATTTCTAACCATTCTGCCCTGAATGTATTACTGACATTTGTATTACAGACTGGCATTTGAGTCTGAAGTGAAAAGAACAGATGCTATCCTGACTACTTTTTAAAAGAGAAGCAACGTGGAGAGAAATTATCCATTCCAAGATACAGTTTGTCAACACCTGAGGTAAAACTGCAGCCAGGCGTAGGCCCTTTCTTCCTCAGCCCAGCTTTATTCTAAAATGCATAGTACTGACTGAAATGAATATTACTGAAAATGGACCAGGAAATAGGCTAACAGCTTCATGAATTATGGCACATACAGATCCTAACAAGCATCTGGAATACACACTATTTTCCCCATTTTACAGATGAGAATCTGAATTGTCAAGGCCAGCCATATAGGAAGCGGCATAGTCAGAACTAGGCAAAACGGGCTGCTTTAAATATTTTGTAAATTATAGCTCCTCAGTCTAGCTCTTGATTATTTCCCCACCCGAACACAATTTAATAATCACTACCATTTAATGTATTTGTGTTATACCAGCTTTTTTTTTTCATGTGAGCATTTGTTACATCCTGAATATGGTAAATGTTTGTTTAATGTCCTTGAAAAGTCCGTGTATGTTGAATGTCCATGAAAAGTCCTTGCATGAAAAGTTGGTGTCCAGAGGGGTCATATTAGGCAGTGCTATGAACTTTCAAGAGGAGGTAATCCTGGTGGGAATGACTTTGATCATTGACAATGTGTCCTTAAAAGGGATTAGGTATCTCTTTTTTATCTGAAAATGTAACTGTTTGCGGTATCTATCAACCTACAGACACCTACACATTTTTATGGAGTAATTATGGCGGCGGTGGTGTACACTTTTAATCCTAGCACTTGGAAAGTAGAGCCAGGCAGATCTCTTGTGAATTTGAGGCCAGCCTGGTCTACAGAGTGAGATCCAGAACAGGCACCAAAACTACACAGAGAAACCCTGTCTCGAAAAAAAACAAAACAAAAAAATTGATCTCTTAAGGTTTCTGAGGCTAAGAAAGTTAAAGAAGCGTATGTATATTCTACCACCACAGTTTATGAGCACTGAAACACATTGTTTGCATATGCAGAAATAGCTCTAAAAAGATTTGGAAACTGTGACCAAGGCACCTGGGTTAAAAGAAATTTTGAACCATGTGAATCTATTTCTTTTTATATTATACTTTATATATCTCATGGTGGATAATATAAATCAGGCCTTTAGGAATGTATCATACTTTAAAAGCATACACAGTTTAAAATTAAAACAGAAGATGAAACCCATATCTTCTATACCTTAGTTATTTCTTTCTTCTGGCCCAGGTCATCTGGTACTTCACCTGCTAAAACAAACATTAAAAGTAAATAGTAAGTAAAATGGAAAGTAGTTTTAGATATTTAACTTTAGAAATAAACTTAGTATTTTTGTTTCATTTGGGTTTTGGTTTTTTTGGTTTTTTACATTTTGGGGGGAGTATAATACAATTACATCATTTACCCCCTTTCCTTTCCTCTCTCCAAACACTCTTATATACCCCTTCTTTCTCTCTTTAAATTAATGGTCTCTTTTTCCATTAATTGCTATTGTATGCACAAATATATGTGAATATATATATATATATATTCACACACACACATATATATATGTATGTATGTATGTATATTGGTATGCTCTTCCCTGAAGCACTACTACTAGATGGAATGGAATTTCAGATATTGGTAGAATATTTATTTATAGCCCTATACATGACAATTAATGTAGTGAGATGCTTATGCTTAAGATAAAGCTAAAATAAGTAGACATTAAAAATAAAATGATGAGACATGTGGCCCCAGCATCACTCAACCCTCACTAGAACAGCTTCCTTTTGCAGCAGATGGTAATTAACACAGAGACCCACAACTGAGAGACGGTGGGAATGCTCAGCCCTAAACAGAGCATCTGTATCCCATTCCATCCACCCAAGGCTCAGGGATCATGTTAGAGGAGGGGGCAGAAAGATTGTAGGAGCCATAAGAAGTGGATGACTACAAGAAAACTGTATTCTGGACATAGCAGGGCCCACATCAACTCACAGCAGTTGAGACACCAGGCATAAGACCTGCATAGTCTCAGGCCATACAAAATGCCAGTGTGGAAAGGGGATGTGGGCATAAAGTCACACTCTCAGCTAAGAAGCTATTGTCATTTGATAGCTACTGGGAGTGGGAAAGTGGGTTTTCTTTATGGGTGCTGCCTCCAGAGGTAGAGTATCCTCCACTAAAGGCCACACCTCCAAGAGCAGATGGGCAGCATAAGCTGCACTTGATGGGTTAATGAAAAAGAAGACACCAAGCTGGGTGGGTAGGGAACCTGGCATGGATTCATGGAGGAGGAGTCTTTGGGGAGGGTGAATGTGATCATTGCATTGCACAAAATGTTATTAGTTCTCCAGGAACTAATAACAAATGAGCAAACAATAATAAGATGGGGAACACTGGATGATAGTGCTCCCCAGAAGAGCCATAGACTAACAAAACCCCCAGTGCCTGCCATGGGAAACCTCCTTTTGATCTAGTGGTCAGGGTGAGTCCCAGAGACTTGTGAAACAATACAGATTGTTATTGCTCTTGGCTACCTCCCAGAACTTGCTCAAGAAACTTCAGACACAGGACTGGGAGGAATCAAGCTGGAACTGACCTGGAAGCCTCCTCCTGAGAACTAGTTTTAATAGTATATGAAGATGCTATGTGAGCTACCAAAGGGAGAGAAAAAATGTTTATTCTACACTGTTGTATGCTGGAAGTGAACAATTACATTTTATATTTCTAATGAAATGATGAAAAGAAGACAAGCAACTGTGTCTTTGTACCAAATGGTCCCTCAAAGAGATCCCATTGCAGAACTGTGATAAAACAGAAGAAAAATTAAAAGTCTAAAACAGAAATAGTTCAGAAAAACAAGATGTAGATAGGTGTGCTGGCTAGTTTTATGTCAACTTGACACCTGCTGGAGTCATCAGAGAGGAGGGAGCCTTAATTGAGAAAATGCCGCCATAAGATCAGGCGGGGGATAGGGGGGCGCGGGCATTTTTAAAATCAGTGATTGATGTGGGAGGGCCCAGCCCATTGTGGGTGGTGCCATCCCTGGGCTGGTGGTCCTGGGTTCTATAAGAAAACAGGCTGAGCAAGCCATGTGGAGCAAGTCTGTAAGCTGCACCCCTCCGTGGCCTCTGCATTAGCTCCTGTCTCCAGGCTCCTGCCCTGTTTGAGTTCCTGTCCTGACTTCCTTTGATGATGAACAGTGATATGGGAAAGTAAGGCAAATAATCCCTTTTCTCCCTAAGTTGTGTTGGTCATGGTGTTTCATCACAGCAATAGTAAACTAAGACAATAGGTCAGAGTAAAAAGCTAAAATTTCCCAAAACCAAGATCTATGATTCAAAACAAGATTAAGCTGTGCCCAGAAAAACAATTCTGAACAGTTTGGGAGTGTGCAAGGAAGAATATGCTTTAAAGGCATAAATACATTATAAATTATAATGCATATGAATCAGGGCCAAAAGAGAATACTTAACTCTTTCCATTCCTTTCCTATATACTATGAGGGAAATTGCAAGCTTTCATAGGATTTTTTAAATGTGGGCATTTACAAAGATCTCTATTTGAAAATGTCAAGAAGTTATTTCTAAAAGTAGCCTGCAATAAACATTTCTACAAATGGTTGTTGATCCACATGTCTAATACTTTCAGACTGCTTCTCAGAAATGATACTAGTGTGTTAATATGAAGCAAAAGGATCCCTAAATTTCATAATATCCTAAAATATTCTTACTTATACTATTTCTAAAATATTCTTACTTATACTATTTAGGTCAAGGCAGTATTTTTAGAATATCTCTGAAAATAATGTCTATCTATTTTAAGTGTTGGTTCTATGCTATTTACTAGGCATGATGTGAATATAAGAAGAAAGAATTCTCAGGCTGGAAGTCATCATGTGCACTACCAAATAGGGCAGACTATGGAGCAAACAGTAGAGCAGAGCTGAGGATACCATTACTGCAGGGTTGATGGTGGTGGGGTTCAAAGAGAGGGGTGCCAAAAGGCAGGACAGTGTAGAACATCAACTTTTTCAACCTCTTGTTTTCCTTCAGAATAAAATCCTGCTTTAAATTATTAGGCAGTGTGTGAGGTTTCCTTCCCATCAGGAGACAAAGAAAAGCTATCCTCTCTTGGAACTCCTTGACTTCCCAAAATGTCTGACTTCCATGAATTAAGGTAAGAGATCCAGAAGAATACTGTGGAAGGAAGGTCCTGTCAGGCCTCCATGTTCTCTACAGAAGGAGTTGTCTGCTAACTAGCCAATATCAAGTTGAGAAGGGCCGGCTATAAAAAGGATGCTTGAAAACGCAAATACAGATTATTTATCCATATAGAAGAGTGCATAGAGGAACTTGGCAGCAGTGAAGGTTCCCTAAAAGGTGTACACTTCAGGAAATAAATACTAAATTTCCTCACAAACACGTATATTGACATTGGTCCCGCATCAGACATAGGAGGAAGCATAAGACATTGGCTTAACAAGATAAATCATGCTGACTAGAACTCATCCTTCCAGGGAATTTGGCCTCTGTGGCACTACAACACAAAACCACATAGCAGAGTATCAGAGGGAACTGTCTCTACCCACGAATGGCAACAGATCCTAAGTTTCATTAAATTGTTCCAAATGTGTACAGTAACTAGTTCATGGATGTTCATTACCTGCCAAGCACCACAGCAATACTTAATAAGAAAGTCATGATGATTTGGGTAACAGGTTATTATTTTTTAATGATGTTGCTTATTTATTTATTCATTATCAAGAGGAAGAAACTTCTCCCTTACCATAGACGCTCCCATTAATGGAACATTTTTTAAAAGTCATGATGTTTTGAGTGAGAGTTCCTGTTTTGTCGGAGAAAATATATTCAATCTGGCCCAGCTCCTCGTTGAGTGTGGTTGTCCGGGCTTCAGCAGGCATTGTTTTTGCAGCATAATACATCTTCCGGTCCCAGTTTATAAAATAACTGTGTCCCAGACGGATTACTTCCACACTGTCATCCATTGAGATGAGAAAGAGAAAGAGAGAGAGAGAGAGAGAGAGAGAGAGAGAGAGAGAGAGAGAGAGAGAGAGAGAAAGGAAGAAAGGAAGGAAGAAAGAAGGGAGAGAAAGAAAAGATTCCATCAACACCTGAACACACAAAGCTTTGCCAAAGTCCTCAAGAGGTTCAAAAAAAAATGTAAGTGCTCCGTCCCTAGAGCCTAGTGACCTTCAGAAATGCCTCAGCTGAGAATCTGCTCATAAACCTTAGTGTCCAAGTGATTTCCTTACAAGCATCATAAGGCAAAATGGCCGCCTCATCAGGAAGCTTCAGGCAATGGCCTATGGTTCTCTATATTAAATAAGCCCAATGGGGAGTTTTGTATGATGCGTTAATTTGAAACTCCATCTGTATCTCAGAGTAAACAAATCCTTATTGAAGATATTTGGCAGATATCTAGTTGGAAGAAATGCATTCTAAGACATAGATATGGTCTTACTTTGCAAAAGAAGCCAACAGTAAGTCTCTATTAAACAAACAAAAACGAAAAAGAAAAGAAAAATGTAAAACTTTGAAACAGGAAAACCATATTAGCATAACTTTTTTTTTTTTTTTGGTTTTTGTTTTTTTGAGACAGGGTTTCTCTGTGTAGCTTTGACTGTCCTGGAATTTACTCTATAGACCAAACTGTCCTTGAACTCAGAGATCCACCTGCCTCTGCCTCTCAAGTGCTGAGATTAAAGGTATGTGCCACTACCACCCAGCTAATATAACTTTTATTATACTATGTGATTATAATTTTTGTATTTATTCACTATTCTTGCCAGTCTCTTACTGTGCCAAATTTGTAACCAAAACTTCATTTATATATAGATATAGATATATATATACATAAAACTGGAGGAAATGTACATGTAAAGTTCAGTACAATCAGTAGTCCTCAACATCCCTTGAGGGTCCTGGAAGATATATTGCTCCTGAATGGAGGGTCACTCCACAAAAATCACTCCAAGTTTTCAATTGTCTGCAAATCTGGCAGTTCCCTGTAAACTCAAAGCAAAAGGAACATAGTGGCTTTTAATTCTCCCATGCTGCAGTACAAGCCAGTGGAAATCTACAAAATTCACTCAAATTCTGGGGCCTTAAAATAACCTGTAGAGAAGATGGGTCTCCTTTCCGCTAGGGAAAAGAGCGTTTAGGAGGGTGACAGTACAACATGCATCCCTTTCCTTCATACACACACACACACACACACACACACACACACACACACACACACACACAACTTGTGGCTGGGCCTTTCTTAATGCATAAACACACTGCCAGCATGGAAATACCTTATCAAAATAAATGTCTTTGTTCACCTGGAATTGTTAACTGTTCAAAGTAAATCATGAGCTCTCGCCATATGGCATTAGTTTACATATTGTACCTATCCAAAAGCCTAATGGGGGATTCTGTGGAAGGCCTTCAGCCCTCATCACAGAGACACCTGGCAGTTCTCTGTTCCTATATCATAGTGTTTAAGCATTTAGGACCAAACAGCCTGAAATTTCTTGGAACACTTTTCCCCTCCGGTTGAGATCACGGTTATTCAGCGAGAGAAAAACCTCAGCTTTTCCTCTTCACCCATCCCAAATCCCACACAGCTTAGGGACAGAGGGAAAAACCAAGGGCAAGCATCAACCACGCAGACTTAGATCTTCATTCTGACTCTACAATTAGCTATGCAATCCTGAATCAATCAATTCCCCATTTCAGCAGAGCTGTTTGAAAAGATTTGGGGGACACATACATGAGATAAAGGATGTGAATCTTCTTATGTAACACACATTAACAAAGGAAACAAAACCATCTATGGACTATGGCCAGGCCTCCTAGTCACCGTACATTACAGAGCACCGGGAAGCGGTTTGTGAAACCATAAAAAGCGATGCAGAAGAAGGTAGTGAAAGCAGGAAGTGCTGTGCCAGCATCAAATCAACGTGGCTGCACACGTGTAGAACGGTATCTAAAGGTAGACGCTGCTGTTTCAACGAAAGGAATACAGAAATCAATCATTCTTCATGTCCTCAGTTTTATAGAGCAGCACATAGTTGACAAACACAAGACAAAAAGAAGACAAGTGCTTTTGGGGAGACCAGGGGTGTTACTAGCAATGTCGAGACCAAAGCCTGGGCTTCTGACATTAGAAATGTGGGTTTTTCTTAACAACTACACGCTAAAAGTCAAAGGAATGCTAACCTGGTAATCTAGCTGTGGTTTCCATTTTAAAAAAAAAAAAAATCTTTCAAAACATTAAATGAGAAATATCAGAGCAGTACAAAGAAAGAAGATACAAAGAGTGTGTGTTATCCACAAGGACATAAACTGTGCATGTGCAGAAGGTAAGCCACTGTGCACATGTGCAGATGGTACACCTCTGTCACATTTGTTTTTAGGACATGAAAGGAAAGCTAAAGAGCTGATTATAGCTTTTCTGGCAAAGAGCAGCATTTACTATAGGCTTTATAATGGGGTTCAAGCATAAGGTTCTCAGCACCAAAGATGAGCCAGTAGAATACAGATCACACAGTGCCCAGGCTACCCACAGCTCCAGAAGGTCCAGAGCAATTTGTGGTGATGTGGCCACATGCCTCTACTTCAAGTCAATTTCCTATAACTGGACATTTCAGTTTCCTGACTTCTATCCAAAACAAGCATGAATTTTGTTCATTTACTCCCCTTGTTTCATTATTTTGGAAAGAGAAAAGAGAGGTTAGTCATTAGTGGAGATTCAGAGCTTGTGGCTTTGTATGCTGCTAAAGTACTGATGGCAAGAAGTGACCAAAGCAAAAACTAGTCCTTTGTTGGCTCCAGGATCTCTGGGCCTACCTGATTCAGTCTTGGAAGAATTGGGATAGAGAATGTCTCAGGTAGACTTATCAAAGTCTCATCGAACACACCCATTCACATACATACATGTACGAAGTCATGGGAAAGGGAAGAAAGGACGAAAACATACATATGTTTGGAGAAAGAGAACACAGAGAGAGAGAGAGAGAGCAGACATACACTCACAGAGAGGGAGAGAGAGAACACACACTCGAGAAAGACAAAGGCAGATAGAGACAATGATAGACCATTTTAATATCACTCTGTGGTATGAAATTGAGAAACTGTAGATCAGGATAGTGGGAAAGATGAACCATGCTTACTAAAAATGACCAGGTACTACCACCTACCTTAATTTGAGTCCTTTCTGTATTTATAGTGGCTGCCAATAATAAGGTAATTTCCCCAATGTTACAGGGCTGATGAACGGTAGACCCGCACCTGCATCCTGGTACCTGAGGCAGGCCAATGACAGGGAAGCCACATCTCAAAATATCCCAGGTCTTCTTTTTCTTACCTTAGACCAGCTCAATTTTATTGATCAGATTGCATGAGCTTCTAGCATAGTTTACATGTTCCAAAGAAATGCATTCCTAAGAAACCTTACTAATCAAGGAGAAAATAAAATGTATTTGTTGTGATTTAAAAAAAAAAAGTACAGGTTAAACAGAATTAAAGCACTAAGTCACCTCATTCCTAACACGTGGAGCAGATCATACACAGATCATCATGAGTGATGAAACTATTTCATTGTAGTGTAAACTCTTAGCTCACCTCACATATAACGAAATGGGCACAAGCGTATTGAGGATGATAATATATGACCAGAACGTTAGGAATCCTGAGAACAGGGAACTCTTCTCGCCTTCTCTCCAGAAGAGGAAAGTTCTAAGCTGGTCCCCAGATTCACTCTTCCAGATTGAATTTCCTATTCCAAGAATAATTCCCAGGCATACCAGAAATCCAAAAATCTAAAGGAAGAATAGAAGTATAGAAGTCTGGTTAAGGTTAATGTGAACCCTAATAATTTAAGTCAAATCAACACTATCTAACTACAAGTCAATTTCCCACAAGAAATTGTCATTTGAAACCAAGTTATATAAACCTTTTCTTACTTACAATAAAGCCTATGAATAAAACTCATATGGCTAAATATCTGACACACAGTTTCTCACTTAATTCTCCCACTAACCCTCTTTGAGGCAGATACAATCATCCACAGATTAAAAACAAAAGAACAAACACAGAAAAGACTATTAGTCTGTGGATTGACCACTGTCACATAGGCAGCTACACACCCTTACTCTGTGACAAATCACATGCTTCAATGAAGCATGATGTCCAGAAGACTGTAGTGTGCCCTCAGTGCCCTAGAAAACCCCAGTTTACATATATTGTCCAGCTCAGTTGACAGCTTGATGGACCTTGGAATCACCATGAAAACAAGCCCATGGACAAGTATGGAAGGGATAATCTAGACTACATTAACTGAAGATGGAAGACCCACCTACATGTGGGCAGCAACACTCCACCAGCAGATGTTCCCAGACTGTGTAAAGGAGAAAGGAAGCTGAGCATCAGCATCCATCTCTCTCTGCTCCCTAACTGCAGATGCCACGTGGCCAGCTACCCCCTGCCCCTGCTGCCATGGCTTCACCACCACATGTGGGTGCCACATGACCATTTGCTCCCTGGCCCTGCTCCCACGCCTTCACCACCATTTGTGAGTGTCATGTGACCAGCTGCCCCCCTGCCCCTGCCACCATGTCTTCACTACCACGTGACCAGGAGCCTCCACTTCCTGCTCCCATGCCTTCACCATCACAATTTACTGCATCCCCAGAGCTGTGAACCAAACTGTATTCTTCTTCTAAATTGTTTTTGCCAGCTGTTTGATAACAGCAACAAGATAATCAACTAATACACCGAGTGATGTTCCCTTTCTCCATCTCACACTTGTCAGAATTCTTAGCTGTAGATCTGTCTGCAAATCCTCACACACAGACAGCAGAAAATAGAAGGATGAACCAAAACACCTCATGATGTAGATACTTTGCATTTGAAATATTTAAAACAAGTGGGAGGCAAGGCAAAAATGTGTACTACATTTTAATATCACCATTACTATCAGAATTAGAAAAACAAACATTTTAGAAATACATCAGTCACAGAGACAATGAAGTCATCATTGAGTCTAAACCCACAATCTCACAGATGAAGGGCACAAGGGCAGTGTCTTGAAAATGAATTTGTGGAGATTCATTCTCCTAAGGGTCCCTCTGTGTCAGGAGCCCACACTCGTCACTGTCAAGGTAGAAATGGGTCTACAAAGTAGCTATGTGTCCAATTTTTCTCCAAGAAAGACCATTCCTGAGGTCTAGAATTGTTTTCTTCTTCTTTCTCGTGAATAAAATAGGAGCATATGAAGACAAAATTGAAGAAATCCTTACTGAAGATATATTAGAAAAACTAGATATGAGAGAAAAATTAAATTGTGTATCACCTATACCCTACCAATTTGGTATCTGTATCACAGTATCTTCTCCTTTTAATAGTTGATACTATAAATTAATTTGATGGAATTACTTTAAACCATTAAAATTAATGATGTTTGGCATTAAATGCCCTAATTTAAGAATGGATTTGGTTTTTATGTCCCGAGAAAATCATCCTATTTCCTACCACAGAAATAGAGGACAGTGCCAGCCTCTGAGCCAGTGACTTTACTCTGTGAAAGATGATAGATAGATAGATAGATAGATAGATAGATAGATAGATAGATAGATAATAGGTAGGATAGATGATAGATAGATAAGATAAATGGTAGATAGATGGATAGGTAGGACAGAAGGTAGATAAGCTAGATAGATGATAGATAGAAAGAAAGAAAGATAGATAGATAGATAGATAGATAGATAGATAGACAGAAAAGATAATAGATGATAGGTAGGTAGATAATAGGAGATAGGTAGATAGATGATAGATATATAATAAGTAGATAGAAAGATAGATAAGTAGATAGAAAGATAGATGATAGATAGATAGATAGATAGATAGATAGATAGATAGATAGCAGACAGATAAGTAGACAATTCTCATGCAAACTCTGGGAGTGGGTTAGGGCCATTTAAATTGGAAATTCTTGGAGTGGATTAGATTCCTTGTGAGGATATCACCTCCATTCTAGGAACCCTATGCCAAGTGGGTAAGTGTAGCTAGAAGGAGCCCAGTCTACAGATGATATGTAAAGCAAAGCATGGTCTTGTCATTATTAGTCACTTCCTTCTTCTCCTATTTAGAGTCAATCCATTACATTATATATCAATTAGGCAAGCGCATTTGAGCTCAAATTCTTTAAGACTCCTGGAAAGTCTGTGATGAGGTACTAGGAGACATGCTTCAATGTTGCTATCCTCATATTTCAAAGTCACAGTAGTTTTCAAACTAGATATCTTATAAGTTGACAAATCCATATGACACAGGTCAGAAAACAATTAAATCAACAGTATGAGATTAAAACAAACTCAGCTGGTAAAGGGATGCAATATAAGAAGATATACTTGTTTGGAGTAAACAAGCAGTAGTTATTACACATTTCCCCTCTCATTTCAAAAACTGAGAAGAGAAAACCCAAGCCTCACCAAAGAAAGATAATTATGAACTAATGACATTAGGTGCTTCCATGAGGAAGGACAGCTATGGTTTAGACACCAGAGGCTTCCTAAGGAAAGTCAGCTCCAAAGCTGGCAAGGTCCAGTGAAAAACAAAAACACATAGCAACAGTAAATCAATAAACCACACACCTGGCTTTTATGAGAATAGAGCCAGCTGTACATGCACAGGTCACATACCTGTGAGGCCACCATTATCTACAGCTATGTAGAGAGGATTTCAACAAAGATGAGATCTTATCTCAGAAATGATTTAGCTTTCCAAACACAAAGGCCTTGTATTAAAATAGGCTACTTCTCACATTAAATCCTACCACTGGCTGATAATTTATTTTGATCTATGAAATAAAAGTGAGTAAACTGAGTCCTAAATATAAAATATCCAAATGCAAGTTTCAGAAAGAGTTCAGACTTCTAAATGAATTCTCAGAAAAGCAAATTAAATATATTAATATAGGAGTGACTAGTGGAATTGCCTAATTCAATCACAGTGATGCACCCGTACCACCAGAGTACTTATCAACTTGCCAGTGACTCACCCTCAGTACCAGAGCATGCATCAACATGTCAGTGACTTGCCCAGAGTACTAGAGTACTACTCAACCTGCCAGCTACTCACCCAGAGCACTAGAGTACTACTCAACCTGTCAGTTACTCATCCAGAGTACTAGAATATGCCTTAACCTGACATTGACTCACCCAGACTATTAGAACATGTCTCAACCTGTTGTTGACTCACCCAGACTACTAGAATACTCATCAACCTGTCAGTGACTCACTCATAGCACTAGAATATGCACATCCACCTGTCAGTGACTAACCAATAGTACTAGAGTACTTGTCAACTTGTCAGTGACTCACCTAGAGTACTAGATTACTACTCAACCTGCCAGTTACTCACCCAGAGTACAAGAATATGTCTCAACCTGTTGTTGACTCACCCAGACTACTAGAATACTTGTCAAACTCTTAATGACTCATCTACAGCACAAAAGTACTCATCAACCTGTCAGAAACTTACCCATAGGACTAGGGTATTCATCAGTCTGTCAATGCTTGTTCTTTTAAACTTTGTCTTGCCACTGTTCTGCATTAGTTTAGTGTCAGGACCTGTAAAAAAAGTAACAATTTTGGAACACAATCTAATGGCAGGAATCAATACATAACTATCAATAATAACTCTGAATGTTATAAATTCCCCCAATCAAAAGTCACAGACTAGTAGACTGACTCAAAAAGCAGGAATCATCTGTTTTCTGCCTTGCAGAAACAAACCTACCACAAAAGACAGAAACTACTTTAGGGTTAAAGGATGGGAAATGTATTCCAGTCAAAAGGAACCTACAAAACAACCAGGTATTATTGTTCTAATGTCTGACAAAATAAACTTCAAACCAAAACTAGTGAGAAAAGATAAAGAAAGACATTTTATACTGATTAAGGGGGAAACCCATAAAAAGAATATTTCAATCTAAACACACATGTCCTGAACACAAAACATCCAATTTCATTAAACAAAAACCCAGGAGATGTGGAATCACAGATTAAGCTCCACCCAGTAGTGATAGGTGAGCTTAATTCCCAACTCATCCAGCTGACAGGCCATCCTGACAAAATATAAATAGGGTTGGAAAGATGGCTCAGCCGTTAAAGGCTAGGCTCAAACCCCAATTGTCTACTCATTTCTGGACCTACTGTCTATTTACAAACATTATATATATCGTAGGTAAGAGTCCATCCTTCCCATATACTTACTTAAAATGTTTAATATATTCTGCCTCTTAAACACTCTTGCTGGTTTCCCCCAAGCTCTTCGGATAAAGACCAAACTTTTTCACATAATCTGCAAGGTCTGCACAATCCAGCTGCTCCCCACACCTCCAGTCACATTCCCATGAGCATCTCCTGTGCTTTCTGCTCTCCATCAGAACTCTGGAGGTTTCTAACCTCATTATGCCACAACACCTTGGCCCATGACTTGCCTTCACAGTAGCCAGCTCTTCACCTTCCCTTATACTCTCTGCTTCCTTCCTTCCTTCCACTTTTCTAACTCTTCATTTTTGTTTGTATTAGTCTATAAATGGCAACTCAAGAAAGCCTTCCTCAAAGTCATCCTAAACAGGATGTATAAGTGTCATTTAAATATAAAAAGAAGAGTTAATAGTTCATTATGGATTCAGTTTTCACAAGATCTAAGTACTGCCTGGAACTTGTTTCCTCATTGAATGTCTCAAGACTTGGGGACTCAGGGTACCCATCTATTCAACTCTGACATGGACAAAAACAACCTTGAATTCCTCTGCTTGCCAGTATTCTAGTTAAGTTCTCTCTTAACTAAAGTCAATGCAAACATTGTCTGCTTTACAAATGTCCATGACATTCACCCTGACAAATACCATCTAAAAGTGAACATCCGGGACACATCACAAAAGAACAGAAGCTCCTTTTCTCCTCCACCAAAAACAGAGAATAGTTCTGTTTTCCCAGCTTAACCCACAGAGATGTCAGTGTGCTCTGAATTTCTGGTAAAAGCGTTGAGAAGTAAGCATGGAAAATATCAACAAGTATCCTCTTCCACACACATCATCCATTGCACCTAAGCAATGGATCCTAGTGCACTCATTATTATCCTGTGCTCCACAGATAGAAGAGCCTAGCAAGTCTTAGAGAAAGGATTCTCGGCCTGATCTGCCCCACATCTTCCTGATCCCTAATCCATGGATTTCTGTTCAACTTGCCTCCTTCCAGTCATATAAGAGGATTTTCCCACAGAAACATTCTTATGAAGGAGACCTTGGCCCCTCAACAGCTCTCAGGAGCGGCTCTCAATAGTTGTCCTGGCACATATGATTCAGTTGAACTAGAGCTTCAGACTAGTCATTCCAAACAAGACTATACAAATGTAATGCACTTTTGAATGACAGCCCATCTCTTGGATGAGGCATCTCCACTTCAGTGATAACAGGGATCAAACCAAGAGAATATTTACCAAGAGACCCTCAGATAGGGAGACTTTTTTGGAATCTCCATACTTCTAAGCAGGAAGTAAAAAAATATATGGGTAAGCTTGAGTTTTTCTCTGAAAGAGAGATGGAAATGTGACATAAATAACCATAGACTTACTTACCTCACTAATTTTAAAAAAAATCTGGTGAAAGAATCATGAAATTAGGTTCAGCCTCAGACAAAGGCCTGATTCTGCTTGATTTCTAGAGACTTGCTGGGTCTTTACACATGACAATACCCTGAGAGAAAAAGCTATGCTCACACCCACAGCTGAGGGTATTTAGAAGGACTTTTTCTAGCTTTGGAACACATTGGCTCTTTAATGAGCATTTTTTGTTGTTAAGGAAAATGGGTTAAGAAAAATAATCCAATTTCAATTACACATGTAATCAGCAGACACAAAACATCTTAATTTGGTGTCACAATAAATAGGATTTTTTAATCAATGACTATTAAATGAAGATATGAGTATAATTTGAGTGGCTTTGCCAACTTGTGCTGTTGTTCCTGAGAAGGAGAATGCTACTTCAGACTCACAGAGATAAAGAAAACAAAAATGGTAGACAAAAAGATCCCCATCCTACCACAAGGACACTTGTTCAACTATGTTCATAAAGGCTTTTTTCATAATAGCCAGAAACTGGAAACAACCTAGATGCCCCTCAACTGAAAAATGGATAAAGAAAATATAGTACATTTACACAATGGAGTACTTATTACTCAGCTGTTAAAAAAAATGACATCATGAAATTTGCAGGCAAATGGATGTAACTAGAAAAAAAATCATCCTGAGTGAGGTAACCCAGATCCAGAAAGACAGACATGATATGTACTCACTCATAAGTGGTTATTAGCTGTTAAGTAAAGGATAATCATGCTACAATACACAAACCCAGAGAGGCTAAGTAACAAGGAGGGCTCCAGTGGGACACATGGATCTGCCTGGGAAGTAGAAATAGAGTAGATTTTGTGAATGGGATGGGGGTGGTTGGAGATGGGGAAAGGAGGGGTCTGATTGGGAGGGAGGGATGTAAGGAGAAAGTATGGGGAGTAGGTGGGCACTTAGGGGGTGATGTGGAAACCTAGTGCATTGGAAACTTCCTGGAACCCATGAGGGTGACCCTAGTGAGTACTCCTAGTAATGGAGGATATGGACCTTGGACCAGCCATCTTCTTGGGCTATGCTCCCAGTAGTGGGACTGGGACATCAACCTAGCCTCAAAACCTATGACCCACAACCTGCATTTCCTGCAAATTGCGCTGGGGCAATGGTGGCTCAGAGCTTGTGGGAGTGACCAACCAAAGACTGGTCTAACTTGAGACCCATGCTACAAGAGGGAACCAATGCTGGACACTGCCTGTATGGCCCAGAACCAGAAGCTGGATGGTCCAGAGACCTAGGGTAGAACCAAACACAACTGGTGGGGGAAAAAAAATCAGTGAAATGATTCCTAATGATATTCTGCTATACTCATAGGTCAGGGCCTAATCCAATTGTCATCAGAGAGGCTTCCTCTGGCAGCTGATGGGTTGCAGAGATGACATGAGATACAGAGACCCACAAACATCAGACTAAGATCAGGGAACCCCATAGAAGAGAAGGGATAAAAGTAGCCAGAGAGGTTGAGGACATCCAGAGAACACAGCCCACGGAATCAACTAAGCAGGGCTCATAGAGATGTGAATCAGCAATCGTAGAGCCTGTATGGGTCTACACTAGATTCTCTGCATACATGCTTTGGTTGTTTAGCTTGGGGTTTTGTGGGGCCCCTAACAGTGGGTGTTGGGAGTATCTCTGCTCTTTTGCCTGCTCTTGGGACCCTTTTTATCCTACTGGGTTACCTGGCCCAGCCTTGATTTGAGGGTTTGTGCTAGTCTTATGGCATCTTGTTATGTCATGTTCAGCTGATATCCCTGAAATGCCTGCTCTGTTCAGAAGGGAAATGGTGGAGCAGTGGATCTGGGGGAGGTGGGGGGGGGGACTGGGAGGCATGGAGGGAGGGGAGACTGAGGACCAGATGTATTGTATGAGAGGAATAAACAAAAAGAAAAAAATGTCACCTTTTTCCATCCCTCCCTCCCTCCATCTATCCATCCATCCATCCATCTATCCATCCTAGTTCCATCAAGCACAGCCCTCAGACCCATCTGCCCTGGTGACAAACAGAAATGATTGCTCTCCAAGAAGCCTTTCTCAAAAGAGCCTCCTGACCTTTTCCAATGACAACCAATGTGAGATGCAGTGTGAGGAAGGGGCCTTCTTTCATATCGATCTTTGGTTTGTTTTCTTTTTAATTTTTTTTTTTGTTTTATGTATGTGGTGCTCTATCTACATATACACCTGCATGCCAGAAGAGGGCATTAGATTCCATTATAGATAGCTGTGAGCCACCATGTGGTTGCTGGGAATTGAACTCAGGACCTCTGGAAGAGCTGCTAATGCTCTTAACCACTGAGCCATCTCCCCAGCCCCTCGATCCTTGGTTTTTAAGGGCAGGTTATTGCATAGGCTAACAGACGCATACAATGGGGTTAAAGAGAAAAAAACTGAGTAGTAGATGTGTAGATACCGATGGATACTGAAGGCTTCAGCATCCTTAAAAATGAGTTCAAGGTATCAGTGATTCCCACACTCTGGGACCACATGGATTATACTCAGAGCACTACTGTCTCCTCTAGGAGTACCACACTCTGGGGTGAACTCAGGAGTCAGCACTTGGCATTCAGTAAAAACTCTGTGCATGTCCACATCCATAGAGAACCATGAACTACACTGAAGTTACCCTAGGACGGGACAGCGTAGAGATGGCCCTGGTTTGTACACCGTACCTGCAAAAAGAACCATCCCAAAGCACCAGCTGGTGTTCCTCAGGACGCAGCCTCTCAGGATTATCTTCTGGTTGCTGAGGGTGTGTTTGCTGTCCTTCCAAGAGAGGACTCCAGAGAACTTGTCTAATTTGTTGTTAGGTGCCTCACAGACAACAATCCCTGGAAAAGAAGCAAGTCTCTTTAGACTCACTGCCAACTCACTTCAGGAGCCCATAGTAATACCTCAGCGCCCGACTGCTGATGTGCAAGGCATTGCCCTTCCCTTCTAGGAAGCATGCTGTTACACTTGCAAGATTTGTGCTGGGGGAAAAAAATAAGCTACAACATGCAAAAAATAGAAATCCATCAAATATTTCTAAGCAGGATTGTGTACACTGACCAATAAGAACATGAGAGACATGAGATTTCTTTTTCCATTAAAAATATTTTTAAGTACCTATTTTTACTCTTAGGAGATATAGATATAGATATTTGGTTTTTTGAGACAGGGTTTCTCTGTGTAGCTTTGCATCTTTTCCTGGAACTCACTCTGCAGCCCAGGCTGGCCTTGAACTCACAGAGATCCGCCTGCTTCTGCCTCCCACATGCTGGGATTAAAGGCATGCACCACCACCCGCCTGGCTATCTTGGGATATATTAAAATGATTTTTCATGAGCATAAAATGATAAATGTCCACATTGTTATTTTTACTTACTGTAAACTGCCACATGAGTTAAGACACCACAGTTTTGGTTTCACAACAAAAGTTAATCAGTTTTCTATATTCGTGGTAAGGATTTGAGGTCCTAGTATACCACACCCCAGAGAAACCTGAGCCTTGTTTGCCCTGTGTGCTAAGACTCCTTCCAGGTTCCCTGTGCCTCTTATCTTGATTTGACTCAGAGTTCTGTGGACTCTAAAAGGCAGCACATAACTTGCTCAAACTAGCCAGAAAATGTTTCTGGTTTTGGTGTTTTGGTTTGTTTTTAATTCCAAGTAAGGACATGCTTATTCCAAATCAATGAAATCGATTCATTCCATTATTTCAAACAGAACACGTACATTCCGGGCGGGAGCTTCCTAGATAGCAAGAAAAAACAGGAATAATTTTTATGGACACTTCACAAGATGTAACTATTAGGTTCACACACCTTTGCACTACGGACAAACATTCTACATTTTTAGAAGTAATGAGACATGAGAAAACAGAGTGCTGAGGAAAGAAAGGAGGGAAGGAGGGAGAGAGACAGGGGAAAGACAAAAAGGTGAAGTGGGGTAGAAACACCTGGGCCCAGGTCAGAATCAAAAGTAAGATCAGCTAGCAGTTTTTAGGTTTGCTGTCTTAGAAGCAACAAAAGTACATTTTAAAACCAGAAGCCAAAAAGGAGGTTTGGAAAGATGAAAGGGAGAGGGGCCCATCTTCAGCACTGGTTAAGCTGACCAGCTAAACCGGGAGCTCTAACCAGTGCTATCTTGGGCACTGTGTCTTCATCTAAGACTTAAGATCTAAGCCACAGTAGAGAGAGGGGTCCCATTCCCTCTCCTAGCCACCTTCTGATACTGAAGAGATTTCTGAGTTCACCCCAGAGTGTGGTACTCCTAGAGGAGACAGCAGTGCGCTGAGTGTAAGCCATGTGGTCCCAGAGGAGGTCAGCTGAGACCAAATAAATAAGTCAATAAAATACGGTTTGGCTCAAAGCTTTGGAAATTTCTGTTCAAAATCAATTGGTGAAAACAGTTTGAGTCTGTGGTAGCACATTATAGTAGAAGTGTATGAAAAGCGATCCGATTCTCCTACAGTCCCCTTCAAGGGCACACCACTGATGACTTGATCCTCCCTCTAGGCCAGACATCTTAAAGTTCTATCACCATACAGTAACACTGAGCTGGGCATTGTGTCTTCATCTAAGAGTTAAGATCTAAAGCACAGTAGAGAGAGGGGTTCCACCCACTCTCTAAGCCGCCATCTGATACTGAAGAGGTTTCTTGCAGGGTTTCTTCCCTTCCTAGAATGCTGGTTTCCCTTTCAAACTGTAGATGCAGCTCCAGCTGTGAGTCAAGTAGCCTGGCCACTCCTGACCAGCCAGGCTGTTCATACTTCAAAATCAAAAATGAAACCCTTTCTAGCCTCTCCTTACCATTTCCTAATTAGAAAAAAAAAAAAAACTGACCTCTATTTGGTCGTTCTGTGGGCCTTCCCAAACAGCCAGTGCTAAGTAAGAGCCTGCTAGCCTGGGTTTCACTGAGACAAACCACCTGTATAAGGTTGTTTCCTAGACCAAGTAGCTAAATTGTGGTTAGCTCTCATTATAACTTATTTATTAAAAAGTAAATTAAAATGAGTTTCAACTGACTCAATTTCTTTGGAAAAACTACGTTATGGACCCAGAGCTTTTTCTGAATCCTCAGATTTTGTGATCATCTTTTCCTTGAGCAATAATTTTCATTTCTGACTTTCATGTAACCTGGAGTTGAGTGGGTCTCACCAGCAAAACCTGCACAAATAACAGGCTGACAGAAGCCCTTAAAATTTATTACAATTTCTTCACCCAAGACTCAATTTCCCAAACTTCAAATTTGGCCACTATTCAAAAAAAAAATGTGGTTTGGGAAAAAACATGATACATGGTTCCTTGCCAATAACAATACAAGAAGCAGGTTTGTTTGATCTGTTCATTGTTGTAAACAAAGGTTGACAAGGAGGTAAATTCAACCTTGAACATTTTGGCTCACTATGCTTGGCAAGAAGATGTGTCCACATCTGGCCTCATGCTAAGGGTACTTTCTGCCAGGGACCACAGGGCCAAGTTCTATATGAGCTCCTGGAGGCCTCGCCCCAGCACAGCTTCCTAGAGTGTGGCCCCAGTGCTCTGAGTACTAAACATAGGGTTTCATCACAACAAAACAGTTAGCTGATAAAGAGTGTTGTTTCCCCTTTCCTAGCTCCATTGGCATAAAGCATGAGTGTTCCCATTTCTCTTCCACTCTTTCCACGGGGACTACCAGCTTCCTTTGCATAAAACGCTGCACTCATCTCTGTGTATTCCCACAGCTTACCACACTGTCTGCAATATAAAGTCATAAAAATATTTGCTGGAGAAATAGTTGAGGAAAGCGGTATCAAGAAAGGGATTGTGGGGCTGGGCAGATGAATCAGTGGCTAAGGGTCCTTGCTGCTCTTGCAGAGGACCCCTGTGCAGTTGCCCACACTCTCATGGCAGCTACAACTCCAGTTTCAGGATATCTGAGGGCTTCTTCTGCATCTAGGGGCGCCAGGTACATACATGGCGCTCCTATGAACATGCAGGTAAAACGCTCAAACACATCATTTTCTTTCAAAAGGAAAGAAGTTGAGAGATGACATAGGTATTGCAGTAAATCTATGCTGTGGAACAATCTTTGTACACTGTAAATATGGTTTGCTCTCATTGGTTAATAAAGAACTGACTGGCCTACAGCTGGACAGGAAGAGACTGGGTGGGAGAGCCAGACCAGGAGAATTATGGGAAGAAGAAGGGCAGAGTCAGGGGTCACCAGCCAGAGAGAGGGGGCAGGAGATGAACATGCCATGCTCATAAAGGTACTGCCACATGCAGAGTGTAAATAAGGAACATGGGTTAACTTAAAATGTAAGAGCTAGTTAGTAATAAGCCTGAGCTTTTGGCCAAGTATTTATATTTCATATTCAGCCTCTGAGTCAGTTATTTGGGAACTGGCAGGCAGGAAAGAAACATCTGCCTACGTATGGCATCCAACGTTCAGCAACTCTATCCACATAAAACCTGAGAAAGCTTGGGAAAGGGTTCTAGACACATAGAAATGGAGCCAAGAGCAGCTTCCTAGCACGTGTCTCTCAGGCCAGCTGTGGTACAGGGATGTGTCCCCTGGCTGCAGCCAGTGGGCTTGAGCTGCCAGCTCTGTATGACAGGTTCCTACAGTCTTTCATGCCAGCTGCAGTACAGACAGGTGTCTCCCAGTTTTAAGGCTCATACCATCAGAAAAAAGATAAATTCAGATGAAAAGAGCCTCTAAACAGGTCACAGTGTGCTTAAAAATGTGCATAGGGTTGGGAGAGAAAAGAGAAAGAATATATACAGTCTTAAATTTAAAAATATAGTTTTAAAATAAAGTCCTTAAAAAGGAATAGAGTAAAAATAATAATAAGCCACATAAAGATGAAAAATACACAGAGTTTGGATATTGTATGTTATTGTGCTGTCTTTGAATTTTTTGACTGCTGAGGAAGGACATAACTCCTAAGACACACTGGGTTATGAGGGCTGCTAGAGTAAACCAACCTACATATTTTGAAAATGTCTTGACTTCAGAATTTAAGTCAAAAGATATGCTACTTTGAGGGAGAGGTTATGCTATTATTTCCATAGGAAATGAGAGGCTGGGTTAAAGAAAATCAAGTTTGATCAAGGAAGACCCCCTGAAACCCTGACTACAGACATAAAAAAAATAAACCTAAAAGAACTACAAGACATGTGATGTATTTTTTACCTGCTAAAACATGTAACAAAAAAATCATCTTTGGCTGACTTGTACACAATGCAGTCTATACTTGCATTAATGCAGATATGTATGTTGCCCTTAAAAGTTTATGTATTTTCTGAGCAAGGAGACCAAACACCAAAGAAAACAGATGGCCCATGTGATCCAGCATTTTCAAAATGTTACAGTCTCCTCAGAATTCTGCATCCAGAACAGCTTCAAGGCTTCTGGCTGAGATGATTCAGCCTCACAGAATACTCCAGTCAGGACTTGACCATAATCCCGAATTTTCTCAGGGTCCCCCAAAGATTACCCGTGCCCCTAATCAACAGGAAGTAGTCTAGAGAACTATGCTCACATTCCAAAAAAAATGGGTTATGGATGTTTATTATCATTTAAGGGGGTTAGTTACAAGTTGTTACTGGTAATGGTCAAGAAAAAAGCTGAACAAACAATATTAGATTTGGGGATCTCATTCTAAAAAGAAAAAGGGATAAAGAAATGATAGGATAAAAGGGTAAATTATTGAGTCTACTTTTAAGCTAAAAAAAAGCAACTCCTAGTCTTAGATATTTTACACTGGTATGAATTTTGGTTTATTGATACAAATTTAAAGTTAATTTTGTTATACTGTGTGTGTATTTCTACTCTTGGTTAAGGTATTATATTTATGTAATTCATT